AAAAAATACACTGCTATGATTGCAGTTCTAAGGATGATTTAAGTAGTCTCTGGCTCCTCAGCTGTGCCCTGCAGTGTAGGCCAACTTCATCCATGGCTTCTCCAGCTTCCTTCAGGAAGGAAGGGAAGGAGAAAGGAAGGAGGGAAAGAAGGAAGGAAGGAAACTGCTGAAATCAACAACAAGGCTTAGCCAGACCATTTACTATTCTGATTTAGCCTTCACTTCAAGCTTGCACTGAGCCTGGAGATTATTTAGAGGTGTAAATTTAGCATCTGATTAGGTCTTTTCTGAGTATGCATCTTGCCCTGGGCATGTGTGTTGCTTTCTAAATTCCTGAGTATACACAGGGGCTGTTGAATGCCCTAATTTCCCATGGATACTCTTTGCCTAACTTTCCCTCCCAAGATTTAGCGCTCTATTATCTGTCTCAACTGTAATCTTTTGTCCCAGATGACTGCAGCTTGTTTGTTTGTCTTACAGTGCTTTTGAGGAATGCCTGCTGTCTTTGCACTCTGAGTGAGTTCTGAATTAGGTAAAATAAAGACGAGTATGTTGTGTCGGGCATTCAAGCACCCCCAAAGCAGGTTAGAACTGACACACTGTTATTGTTAAATAAAGTCTGCTGTGCTCCCTCTAGAGCTGAGGACTAGAGTTCCACACTGGGAATGCGGAATGCCACCTCCAGGACTGCCACTGAGCTGGGAACAGGGTGGGGCCAGGGCAAGCAGGCAGGCCACAAGCTTTTCTGCCCCTTTAAAGTTGCCTTGTCTTTCATTCAGAGTTCACTTGGATGCTGGCGGCCTTTGACTGATAAGCAGAGTTCTGACTAAGTTTGTTCTGACAGCCTGCCTGTCTTTTCTGTCGTTTTGTGGAACGACAGGTGTCGGCATCTGCGTCCCCTGCCATCATCTGCTGCCCTTGCTCTCTGCACTGCGCACAGCCTCCTGTGCATATTCTCTTTGTTACTCTGAACACCACCTTAGTTCTTTCTTTCTGAAACACTACCCACATAAACCTAGGTTTACGATAAACTTTTAGAGTAAAATAAAAAGTTAAGGTTTCAGGGAGGGATTATGTCACAGCACAGTATCATCGCAGTAGACAACCGTATTGACTGAAATACTCGGCTTCCCTGGTCTTCCAGATTCCTTGGTTAGTCACACAGCGGCCGAGGAACTGAGAATATGGCTAAAGTGTCTTTTTTTTCAAAAAAACATTTTTTCTTATCATAAATCAACACACATTTATTTGGTATTTAAAAAAGAAAAATGAAGAATGAATGAAATAGAATTTCCAAATTCTGAAAATTCATAAATGTATAAAACAGAAAACAAGGCACCAGTAATCCCATCACTCAGAGATACCAACGGTCCTGTTTGATACATACTCTCCAGGAACTTCTAAATCACCATTGCATAGGCAGCTGCGTGTGTGAATGTATGGGTGCGTACGCAGACACATCCATGTGTATGTATATTTTTTATTGAACAAAATCAAGATTTTAGTAAGGTCTTTTGAAAGTAAATATAGAATGCATTATTTTAATGGGCACATGATAATTTATTTATGGATGTACAATGATTTAATCAGTTTCTTATCAATGAACACTCAGTTTATTCCCATTTGTTCTCTGCATATATATTTTAGAACTTACAGGAAACTTAAAGTATGTAATTCTGATTTCTCAGGTAGTTTTATTTAAATTTTTGCTTCTATAAACCAGCATTAAGACAAAAACAGTTTTTGGAATCCTGTTTCAAAAAGCTTTGATCACAAAAGTAGGCAATGCTCAATAAACATTTAAAAGGTTTCAACATCTCTAACCTTAATAGACGACTTTCCAAACTGGCTACAATCTGTCATTTTAGTTTTAACTACCTGGATTACTCACAAAGTCTCCACTTTGGTCACAAGGATTTATTCACCTAGAGGAGCCTTTGCTATCCTTCTGCCATAGCACTCACTGCTTCTCCAGGCTGGAAACGCTGGAAATCACTTTCTCTTTCTCTTCGCCTATCAAATCTAATCCAGAATTACAGGTCTAGCTCAAATCCTACTTGATCCATAAACTCTTCCTGACCTCCTAGCAGGAAGGAATTTTTCCTTCTATAAAGTCCCTTGGCACATGATATTTGCACCCTTTTTTGGGCAGTTAAATATATACTGTCTTGTAACAATTCCTTCTCTTGTGTTTTCAAATGTTATTTGAATCTTGCTTGTTATTTCCTCACTGGCATATTCATATGACCTTGCTACCGCTGCACCGAAGGACTGCTGGCCAGGTCAGTCTCGTCATTCGCTCAGCGCTGTAGTTTGCACATAGACGGAGCTTCGTAAGTATTTATTTATTTCATATGAACACTGGAAGTTACAGATCTATATTACTAAAATTCTTATTCAGTTTAATTTCTAGGCACAGATAAAAGTATACCGAAAAGCAATTTCTTAAAGCTCTTTCATCAAGATAGTAAAAAAGTCTTTGCTACTGACTAATACACTGCTGTAGTTGGTGACTGGACTATGTAATCTCTAAATCAAAATAGTAGCTCAAGATTTTAATGTTTTTATAATATTTAACATATTTTCTTAAAGTAGTTTGCATAAATACTGAATCACTTACCTTGCAAAAACTTAAGTAGAAGCACAAAAGTAGCAGAGTAACATGAGCACACTTCATGTTGGAGACATTCAGGGTCGGTGTCTCTACTGGGGATGCTTCTCTACCCCAGATAGGTTTTTCAAATTTAATATTTAACCTCTGAAAAAATATTTAAAAAGAGCAAACCTCCTCCAGAGCTTTGGACTTTTGAACTTGTAGAGAGTTTGGCTACAGTCCCAAGAGTTTACCGTAACTGAAACAAAGCAAAACAAAACAAAAGTCCTTCCCAGTAAGTAGCTGAGGGAGGCAACCAACAGGGACTGCGTTTTCTCCAGAGGCAACTGATTCCCCCTCTTGGTATTGAGTAAAACCTCTGTTCTGTTTTCTAAGGAAGACAAAAACTACACTGGAAGACAATTTCTTATGCTTTTGTTAAAATATTTAAAATGATAACATTTTCCCTCAGAGTTGAAGACTGGGTGATGGCAAAAAGGAATAATAGTAAATCAGATTGAAGGTATGCTGAATACTTTGAAAATCCTCAACGAAACAGCCCCTTTACCATGCACTGGCTGTGCTCTGATCAAGCCTTACGCTCTGAGTGAAAAAACACCTTTTTAAAATGAGCATTCTTTCCCTGGCACCAACTATAGTGCTGGATTCATTTATATTTGTAAAATAAATTTGTGGTAGCAGAAATGCTGTCACAGTTTGGGTTCTCCTGAAGCAGACATGAGACGGAATTGGGGAGGTGGGTGCAAAATATTTGGTAGCTATGAACTTCAGTGAAAGGAAGTGGGTAGGAGCAGGAACCAGCAGAGGGAGCAGTCGGACTACAATGCAGGTTTGTCACAGCCTCGCCAGCCTATGGGGAGCTCTGGAGTGACTGTGGCCTGTCACGTGTCCCTGGGTCAGGCAGAAGTGATTGGTGTAAGGAGTAGGGAAAAACTTAGGCCATGAGAAAATAGGAACCTAGCTAGCTAGAGCCAGGAGATTACTAGGTTAATGAACAAACATCCTGCCTTCCCGCCTTATGCAAGAATGCTTGGTTTGAAATTCCCACGCACAGTCTTTGTGAGCGAATTGCTAACTGCCTCGTCTGCTTCTGTGTAACGCTTGCTTGCCCGCCCCTATATAAGGACTTAGGTGTAAGTGCTCGGGGCGTCTTGTTTGCAGCTCCTTGTGGGCACTGTGTCGCTGGACACTTTGAGAGTTCACCCCTGTGCAGGTTAAACTTGGCCAATAAAGTAACATCTTTGATACCCTGAAAGTCTCCGATATTTGTTCTCGAGTTTGCTGGATGCTACAACTGGACCATTAAACCCTGCCTTGCTCTCAGTCACCTGGTGTAGGTTGCCCAGGAAATGCACAGCCTTAGGTGAGGCAGACCCTGAAGGAACAGACAATTCGATTCAGTCAGAAGTAGGTGTCTGCTGACCACACTCTTCATAGCTAGGCAGTAGAACCTTCCTTGAAGGAGAAACATGGGAAAATCATTTCCACCATTTATGCCTTTTACACTATTTTCATCTTTTAGATCTACTTACCATATGTGCTCCAAGAGTGGCTCCTTGAAAATTGCAGTGGGCCTCTCTGAGGGAAAATTTAGAATAGGCAGGTGACGGGAAAAACTATAGCCCCTGCCCTTGTCACTGATCTTGGGGCTGCAACTGGTACTCATCTTACCCAATCTAGATTCCCTTCACCCTGACCCTCCACCTCTGCCAGCTCCAGCGGGTTACCTGAGGGTGGGGCCCACAACCCCTCCCAGCAGTAGTTACCATTTCATTCTAGTTGCTGCTTCTACCCCTTTCCTGTCACAAGAGACAGCAAAGTAGCTATACGGTCCCATACATATCATACAGCAGCAGTCCTTCTGCCTCTGAATGATCAGAGCCAGTTACCCTATGATGGGGGTGACTCCTCTTCTCCCCCACTGGTCTCCAGACACCAGGAACCCAATGTGCAGCAGGCAGAAGGCTTAGCTTATAATTCAGTGTGATTCTTGCTGTGCCCTTGGCAGAAGTGTACTTCCTCTGGGGAACAAGACCCCTAATCTGCAGGGTCCAGAGTTCTGGGGCCAGGAAGTAAGAAGTCCCCAGTTGGCCATTGGGAAGAGATAGAATTGGGAAGTTGCCATTGTACAGATGGTATATGATATAGTCTAGGAAGAAAGGGAAAGTGCTTTGGGACACTTCCCCAATTTACATATCTGTTAGTGGAGACTGAGAAGTAATAGCTAAGAAAGGAAACGGCAAGACAGGAGACTTTCATAAAAGTGATGGTTAAGTGTGGTCATTCCTGATTCTATTCCTTGGGCTCCTGCACCCCTGTCTTCCCTCTCTGGGGGATACAATGTTGTATGTAGGTCTTCAACTCAATGCATTTGCTGTTTCCAGGAGGATAGCACCCTGTCTTCACAGAGAATTGCCTGGAGCAGGCCGTTCCAGTGGTCCCTGACATTGGATCTGAATGGTGTTGCATGTGGTGCCCAGTGAAGCATGGTCATAGGCCCACACTCACATCTTATTTGCTGTAAAGTGAGTACTCTTGACTGACAGGGTGTCATATGGGACCCCTGTTGAAAGATTAAATACTTTGTAATCCTTTGGATCATGATCCTAGCTGAGGCCCTGCAGACAGGAATGGGACCTGCTAATCTGTGATTAAGTCAATGCTTGTAAGAATGTACCACTGGCTCTTTGAAGATAGAAAGGACAGAATGTGGCAATTTACCACCAGGTGGCTAATTGGCGCAGTCTTGGGGGTCTGCACTGTGGCTGTCAGATTGAACATTTGTTGATGGCTGCAGCTAAATAAACCTTGGGAGCCCATGCTAATGGCCTCGTGGGTAGCCTCCATCTCTGCTACCATGGCCACTTCATTCCTGTGCCCCTGGCGTTAGCATTGGGGTGGCTGATGACTGAAACCGCTGATATGAATTGGCTGAGTTGTTCTGATGGTTATTAGTGCCTTTTTCTCTGGTGAATGTTAATATATGATACAAAGATTGTTACACTTCATCCCCACTCCTATATGCACATCCACAGGTTCCTACCTGAGACTTTCTTGGTTTAAATCTCTTAATATTTTTCGTTCTAGCCCCCTAGAGATGGTCAGGCAATCACTATTGCCTGTGATTCCACATATAATCTAACCTCAGGCCACTTCTTTTTCCACAGAGGGAAAAGTGGATGGCCAGGTGTGCTACAGAAGCTCTGCCCGTTGGGAGAATTTTCCTCACCACTGTCTTTTAAAACCACTTTTAAGTGTGACTGAAATGAGCTGGCCCATCTGTACCCCAAACACAAGCTTTTCTCTCCTTCCTTAGCTGGTCATTCCAGGTTCTCCATAGAGCCACAGGGGTGAGCTGAGAGGGGGCACAGGTGCAGCAATTTGGATTTGGGGTAGGGGAACCCTGGCTACCTGCTCATGCACTTTGCTTGTGCCCTTGGGTCCTTTTTGTGTTTGTTTCTGGATATAACACTTCCATATTACCTTTTTGCTAGGCCCGCTCAACCTTATGCTCCATGGGTCTGTTAAGACCCAGCTCATAATGGGCATTTCTGGCCACGTGGTGATGTAGTGTACCGTCTTCAGTTATTCCACATTCACCAGGACCCAGTGGTCAGAGGTTGTTTCTCAAAAAGAGCACACTTTTTACTGCAGATGGCATGGCCTTGTTCTTGAATCCTAGGGCCCTGTATTGAGGGAGAACCCACTGGATCTTCCTCAAATACTATGTGATTTTTTTTTCTCACTACTGACACCCCCAACACCATGGGGTCCTCTGGATTGTTTCAGAACCCTTTCCTGTTCTGGCAGCCAGAGCACTACTCCTTAGGGTGAAATATCCTGAGAAAGCAATTATTCCCAAAAGGGAATATTCCCCCAAACGCTCACTAAGTTTTGTGCTTCCTTCTTTATAAAAGGAAGTGCAAGATGAAACAATTTATCTTTTATTTCAGAGAATATGTCCTGGCAAGTTGCTGAGCATTGGTTTTCTGAAAATTTTACTGATATGCCAGGTTTTGTCTCCTGCCTCTGGAGCGTATGTGTCTCATGAAGGCATTCAGCATTCGAGGCCTTGGAGAAAGGGCTTGGGGAGGAAATGTGTAAATCAAGCAGGCAAAAACATCTTGTGTCAGAAAACGAGAAAGCTATCAGAAGCCAGTGAATGGTATAAAAAGACATAAGACTCACTTTGAAGGGGCTCTCATATACCAAAGATGAAACAACTTAAGCATTAAAAAGAACAATAATAATAAAGGATTGAAATAAAAATTTAAAATAATGAGGTTCTTTATTTCATCTAATAACTGCTGAAGAAATGATAAAATGAGCATATTACTGTTTTGTAGCCCCTCATGAATCAATGGATCTAGGAGATGATCACCAATAACTGCTAAAACCAGAAAAGCTGGAAGGAAACTTTATTTTTATTTATTTATGTTAAAGATCTTATTTATTTATTTTTAGAGGGGGAGAAGGGTAGATGAAAGAGAGTGGAGAAACATGGATATGTGAAAGAAACATGTATGTGTTGCCTCTTGAACGCACCCTGCAACACAGGCATGTGCCCTGACCAGGAATCAAACTGGTGATTTGCTTTGTGGGATGATGCCCAATCAACTAGCCATTCTGGTCAGGGCACTTTATTTTTTTCACAGTAAAAAAAATTTTTACATTTACAATTAGCCAGCTGGACTCAGTTTAGGTGACCTCAATTTTGTTGGTAACATCCAAAGCATCATAGTCTGGAGCCAGTGGAACATAGACCTTCCCCTCTCCCATCAGGCCTCATCAGGGTGCTGACCTTGGCTGTGTCAATGTCATAGAGCTTCTTCACAGCCTGTCTGATGTGGTGCTCATTGGCCCTGACATCCACAGTGAGCACAAGGGTATGGTTGTCTTCTGTCTCCTTCAGGGCTGACTAGGTAGCTGGGGGGAGCTTGATGGTGGCGTAGTGGTCAAACTTGTTTCTCCAGGGGGTGTGCTTCCCAGCATGTTTGGGCTGCCTTTGGAGCCACATGGTCCTGGGCTGTAGGAAGGTGGGTGACAAGTGATGGTTCCTGTTGTTGTTGTTGTTGTTGTTGTTCTGCTCTTCTGTTTCTTCATTGCTTCTGGCTGTGAATGCCTTTCAGCACTGCTTTCTTTGCCTTCAAAGCCTTGCTTTGACTTTGGCTTTAGGAGGGGCAGAAGCTTCCTTCTTCACCTTCAGTGCCATCTTGATGAAAAAAAAAGTGGACACGTTCTAATAGACGAACCAGGCTGGTATGAATCCTACTTATCAATCTTAACATTGCTAAAAGAGAGACAACCATACAGCATGAGCCTCCTCAGGTGATGCTATAGGAAGATTTTTGCAGAAAAAAAAAAGTTGAACCTCAACCGAATCAATTCTCCAGATCTCACTGAGAGAATAGGGAAACATGCTTTATACCAACAAGAGGATGGGAAATCTACCAGATAAAAGACACTTTCAACAAATAAATGCCATGAACAAAATAAAAATAGGGAGAGGAAAGTGATAAAAAAATAAAAGACATTTAAGAGATATATCAATCAAATGTAATTCATGGGCATAGTTTGGATTTTCACTTGATCAAACCAACTATTAAAACATTTTGAAATAATTTGGGGAAAACTTACATGGACTGTTACTAGCTGATACTAAAGAATTACTATTTTTGTTAGATGTGATAATGGTATGGTGCTTATATTTAAAAAGGTCTCTGCTAGACGTTTATGAATTACATGGTATGGGGGTTACTACAAAATACACTATCGAGAAATATATATACTTTAAAAATCTAGGGGTCTGTAGATGAAGTAAGATCTGCAAAGAGCTGGTAATTATTGAAGGTGGATTATGGGTACATAGGGGCTCATTATAATGTTCTCAACTTTTGGCCATGTTTGAAATTTTAATAAAAATTTTAAAAAGAAAGTCATGAGTTCATATTAATATTTCCAATTTAATGGCAACTTGGCTAATTCCTTTTAAAACTTTGTCCCAATATAAAGTTTTAAGCCCTTTTTCTTTTCTGTCATTTACAATATCTCTTAACCAAGTATTTTAATTAGATTTCCTAACTTCAGTAACACAGTGGATGTATGCTTTCTTAGATCTTGGGTCCCATAATTCGAATGTACTTACATCCTTTCTGCTCCACCCATCCCTTTTATAATCTCTTTGTTGATCATTCTATAATAATTTATCAACAAACAGAATCTTAATGGATGGACAGAAATTCAAAGTATAGAGAAGAGTTCAGTTAAATTCAATGAATACTTACTGGGCATCAGTTTTTTATTTTTATTTTTTACAGTCACTATTCTAAGTACTTAGGATACCAAAACATGTAAGATGTAGTTCCCACTCTTCAGGAGCTTATAGTCTAGTACAGATTTCTCAGTTGAGGTCTGCAGATATCATTAGGCGTTCTGTGAGAGGTTACTAGGGGTTCCAGAAAAGACCAGAAAATTTTTTTTTATCTTCCCCTGAGGATACATTTTCACTGATGAGAGAGCAAGAGGGGGGGGGAGAGAGAGAGAGAGAGAGAGAGAGAGAGAGAGAGAGAGAGAGAGAGAGAGAGAGAGAGAGAGAGAGAAGTGTTGATTGGCTGCCTCCCGTATGCACCCCAACCAGGGCCTGAATCCTCAACCTAGGTGTGTACCCTGACCAGGGATCAAACTTTCATTCCAGTTTTTCCAGGGCTGGAAAAATTCTTTTGAGTTTCCTTCTCCATGCAATTGCAATGCCAGCACTTGCAGTGATGAATAGATCAAGCAGCCTGTTAATAATTTTGCTAGAAGTTGTCCACCTATATGGCAGTGCTCTGCATGACTCTGTTCTTTTGGTTGTCTGTTCTCAGTTTTTGATGTAAGATAAGGAAGGAAGGCTGTTGCTAACTGGTGAGTGCTGAATTGTACTGAGGGAGGGGTAATGGGTTCATGGCATCAGCCTGTCCCCCTTGAACTCTATCTCCGATCCTCCCCAGACTCCCTTGCCCCTAGCCAACTGAGAGCAAACAAGGTTTCCTGATATACCACATCAAAGGGTGCATTTTAATTCTAAGGATTTGTAAACACTATGACTCAGATAGCTTTCTGTTGCTGTCATGTTGTAAATATTGCAAAATGTGGAGCTTGTAGGTTGAAAGTGAATTGTATTTTTAAGGATTTCATTTTTCTTTTGTAATTCCTGTTTTGTTTGCTTGTTTTTCACTTTATTAGCACCTGTTTTGCAAACACGACTTAAGGTCCAATGTGGTGATATTGTTAAAAGGATTGTATTTACTTATTTTTAGAGAGAGGGGAAGTGGGGGGAAACATCAATGTGAGTGAGAAACATCAATCCATACGGGCCCCAACTGGGACTAAACTTGCAACCCAGGCATGTGCCCTGACCAAGAACTGAACTTCACCTTGCAGAATGACACCCAATTATCTGAGCCACAATGTGGTGATTTTTGAGGATGAAGTGGGAGATGGAAGAGAATTCTAGGTATAAGTAATTCTGATAATGAAGAACTTAAAGATGCAGCAATGGCTCCAGGAAAATTGAGAAGACAACCATAAATCATATTTAAGAAACAAATAATTTTAAATGGCCTTTGAAATCCTAGAGTAAAATTTGTTTAAAAAGTCTGTCACCTTCAGTAAGAAAGTCCAAAAAGCAAGTTATTAAGTAGTAGAAATTTTTTATTAAAAAAGGATAAAGCCCCCCAGTTGATAAGAAACGCACAATTCTATTATGTAAATTTAGAGTAAAATGCTAGAATAATACATAATGTAAGAAACTAAAAAAGTGTCTCTGTTGAAGTTTGATAAATTGATGACATGTCACATGATGCTGAAGAGATTTTGTGTAATAAAACAAAAAACTTTTTATCCACACTGATGGATCAACAGATTTCAATAACAAATGTCATGTGGTAGCATTTACAAAATATGTAAATTGTGGTAACATTCAAGAAAATTTTTCCATAATAAAATGCTGCCCAAAACAAAGGCCAAGATACATTTACTGTTTTGTCTTCAGACTGGAAACAAAAGGTACATTTAGGAGGAAGTCTGTTGGCATCTGCATTGATGGTACCCCATCAACAATTTCAGCATCACTTCCTGAGAAAAAGAAAACCCTGATGTATTCACAACATACTGTTTTCCTCCCAGAGAAGTACTGGTGTCAGACATTTTTGGAGCTGAAATGAAAAAATTTCTGAGTGATGCTACGAAAATGGTGAAAGTTACCAAAGGCCAGTTCACTCAGGAATGTTTAAAAAACTGTGCTCACTTCAGCAGCACATATACTAAAATTGGAATGATACAGAGAAGATTAGCATGGCCCCTACACAAGGATGACACGCAAATTCATGAAGCGTTCCATATTTTTAACTCTTTTTCTTGGCACCTCTGCCTACCACTCTGAAGTGTATACGTTACTTCATGCATTCCAGTTTTTATTAAATGCATTCCTTTCAATCAAAAAACAACAACAAAAAAACTATGTGGAAGCATGGACAAAGACCACGTAAATTTACTGCCACATACATAAAATCTTTTGGCTTAGGAGATCATTCCTTCTTGGGAATGCCAGCTGCCATGTTACAAGAATGCTTAAGTGCTCTGTAAACAGGCCCATGTGGCAAGAATTAAATCCTTTTGGCAAGATGACATAAGCTTGCTAGGCACCTGAGTGAGCCACCTCAGAAACTGACCCTTCTCCAGTCTTGATTCAGATGACTGTAGCCTCAGTCAACATTTTGATTGCAACCGCACAAGAGACCCTAAAGCTAAACCACCAAGCTAAACTGCTCCTGAATTTCTGATCTACAGAGATTACACAAGAAAACGTTTATTGTTTTAAGCCACTAAGTGTTGGGATAATTTGTTACACACTAAGAGAAACATACAGATTTTGGTTCTTAACAGGATGTTTGAGCTGAAAAGTGAATTGTGGGAATACTTTCAAGAAAATAGTAGGCTAGATTTTGCCAAATGCTCTGAAGATCAAGAATAGCTACAGAAACTTAGCCTACTTAGTAGATATTTTTTATCACATGAACTAGTTGAATGAGTATATTCAAGGGCCTGGAGACATATTTTGATTTCAAGTGACAAGATTCTTGGTTTTAAATAGACATTGAATCTTTGGAAAAATCATGGCAAAAAGAAATCTTGAAATATTTCCACTGCTGCTTGCACTTGAGAGTGAGAAAGTCTCAAGTGTCAAGTTGAAACCCAGTCATCTGGGAAAACTGCAGAACAAACTGAACAGTATTTTCCCTCCCTTTCAACACAAAGGTATGTCTGAAAGAGGGCTCTTTTCTCTAAATCTCCTTTTCAGTTTGAGCACCTACTTTGGGAAAAGAGGAACTCTGTGAGTTGATGATTACAAACATAACATGAAATGTATTGATTTGCACTTCTACAAGTTCTGGATTTCTGTGAAAGAAGAGCATTCTGCCATTTATAGGGAAGTGATAAACATTTTACTGTACTTTTCAACATCTTGTGCAAACAAGCTTTTTCTTATCTAATGAGCATTAAGAACAAATACAGAAATCATCTCATTTTGGTTGCAAATGAAATCTGTGTAAGACAGTCTTAAGATCAACTCAGAACTGAGAATACACAGGGCAAAAGACAGCAAAGATTTCTTACTAAATAGGTAAATTTCATTATTTTTAGTTTAAAAAATAACACTTTTATGTATACATAGGCCTATAAATAGAGATGAACACTCACTAAAATCATTTTGCAACCTTTATTAAATCAAAGGAAAAACTGAAGTTTCCTCTCCCACTTAATTTGCATCAGAATTTATATCTTTGTGTGTGTGTGGGGGTAAACTACAGAGTAGGCTAATAAATACATTTTCTACAGAATTTATTGGGGTAACACTGGTTAATAAAATTATACAGATTTCAGGTACAGAATTCTACAGTCTTTGCTGAAAAAAGCACTGAGTTGCACAACAATGTGAACCACTGAACTATACACTTAAAAATGACTAATACAGTAAAGTTTATGTTACATGTATTTTATCAGTTTAAGAAAAGCATTGATAATTATCATTGAGTCATTGTCTACAATTTGCTCATCATAAATAATATTTTTGGCACAGATTTGAGACACGAAAATTATTTCAAGGATGCCTCCAGGATAAAAAGACAGAAAAAGGCTGGTTTAGTGAATGGGAGAAGGAGGTCTTGTGAGCAGGAATTGTTCAACAACTGCAGAGAAAGAGAAGCAAGGCAATAATGTTGGCCTGAGGTGGGCAGAGGTCAGGTGTACAGCGCAAGAAGAAAATAAAATTAATTCTAACAAAGGGCTAATCAAGAGGGGGATTTTAATTTAGATTTGTTGCTAAAGGAAATGGGGAGATATTTGGGGTCCTGAGGATGGCTATGGTATGGTATGTTTTAGTAAGGTCACTATGTCATCACATGTAGTACATAGAGAAGAAAAGTTAAGCCTGGAAGTATTTATTTTGAGGCAACAAAGATGTTCAGAATGGGAGACTGTTGTAGTTCACTGCTATTATTTCTGTACTTTTGAATTCTTGTAGATCATATTGGGTGATTTTGGGTAAGAATTAACACAAGAAAGTGTGGTAGTGACAACAGTAGGCCTGTAATGACAGTACAAGAACCACCTTATAAGGCAGAGGTCTCCAATCTCCCAGACGGGTACCAGTCTGGGCCTGTTAGGAACTGGACTGCACAGCAGGAAGAGAGCTTGAATGTAATGCGCTGGAATCATCTATAAACTATCCCCTCCTCCCTAGTCTGTAAAAAAATTGTCTTCCACGAAACACCCCTGGTGCAAAAAGGGTTGGGGGTCACTGTTATAAGGAATTAATAGAAATTGGTAGCTTTGGATAGAAGAGACAGCAACCAAGTCTGGGGCAGCAATGTTGATGATAGAGGAGAGTGCTGAAAAGCCTAAGCCCAAGAGCATGAGGACAGGCAGAGAACTGGAATGATGGACAATTTGGGAAGTGGAAGAGCAGGGAGCCAGAAAAGGACTGAGGACTGTGAGGATCCAAAGTTGTAGGTTGTCCTTCTAATTAGTTACGGGCCTTTATTTCTCTTGAAGGTCCCATAAAAGTTCAATGGTTTCATCACACTGAGTTTAAGATAACACGTGGAACACCAAATAGAGAAACACTGAATACAAATAAATATTAAACTACACAAAGCAAAATAGAGCAGGTAACTTATGAATAATTCTACCTCTGATGTATAGAATTTAAACTAAGTTTAACAAATTCCTTTTATATGTGGGACTATTAGGTGCTTTCACAAATCATGATTCCTAATATTTCCATGGTGAAGTTTACAAAGTTCTTTCAAAATCAAAATAACTCTGAAATAGGTACCAACCCCCATCCTCGTTCAGCGGCCAATTGTGTCAAATACCAAGGTAACGCCTCAGAAGATTCGGGTGTAAGAGAGACAAACCAAAGTTACTAAGTCATCAGCTTTCTTTGGGTAAGAAGCGTTAGCGGAAGCTGCAACCAGGTATCAGTGACGGGCTTAAAAAGGGGAGAGGGGCTCGTAGTATACACGGTGTACTGCCTGGCAGTGCTCAAAGCGTACTTGACAAAGGAATAAACTATCCGGTACAAAAGATAAAAATATGGTTTGGTTTTCTCTATCAAATAACACAGTTTCTTTAAAAATACACTGGCACCTTTTTCTTCTAGTGAAACTACAGAACAAAAGTACCGCCACAATTCAGCCACAACCGTGCGTACTTCAAGTCAAGGAAGGAAAAAAGGACGGGAGAAAACGCAGACAAGCCTTCGGGTACCAACGCTGCGGGTCAGAGCTGCTCAGAAGTGTGGGTGACAGCTGGCAACGAACTGAGGAGCGAGAGGATCACCTCGCAGCCTGAAAAGCAAGGACCCAGCAAGGAAGCTGGCATCCGCTGGGGACGTGCCAGGCCGGTAGGAGACAAACCGAGCCTCTAACCCCAGCCGTCTCCCAGGGCACCACCGGGGCACACTTCGTGCGACGTCAGGAAGCGACGGACGCCGCCATTGTGCGTCACTTCCTTGGCTCGTCGGTAGGCACGTCTAACTGTCGTAAACCAGTGGTTGAAGTAAGACATGCTACTCTTTCAAGCGCTGAAGGCTGTTATGGAAAGTTGACGGTGTCGTTAGTCCTGCCGGTGAGTTTTGTTTGTTTGTTTTTCGTAAACCAGTTATTAGAGTTTGGGGACTCGCCCATCCACTTTGTGCCGGTACGGTGGCCGAGGAGGCTTGTGTGCGGCGGAAGTACCGGCGGGTGGGTGTGCGCACCCGGGCTAGACGCGCACGTGGATCCGGTGAGTGGTTGCAGGGAGCCGAAGGAACAGGGAATGCTGCGGCCGGGAGGCAGGCGGGAGGGAAGGGACAGCAGCATGAACATCTTTCTTCCTGCGGGGGGAGGAGGTACTAACCGAGGGCGACGAAGCTGGTGACAGTGGGTCGGAGTTCACAGGGCCTGGAGGAGGCGACACTCCTCACCCTTCGGTTTTGTCACTGGCGGCTTGGGCGTTGGTTTTGGTAGCAGAGTTGCTGTTTTACTGTCCCCTTTTATGGCCTTTTGGCCGAGACTCAAAAGGGTGAAGTGGTGTACCCAGAGGTCACAGTGACCAAAAGGCACGCACTGTTTTTCTCACCAGGTGGAAGCGAGCATGTCTTTTCGAGGCGGAGGTCGTGGAGGCTTTAATCGAGGCGGTGGAGGTGGCGGCTTCGGTCGTGGCGGCGGCAGCAGTAACCACTTCCGAGGTGGAGGTGGCGGCAATTTCAGAGGCGGCGGCGGCGGCAATTTCAGAGGCGGCGGTGGCGGCAGAGGAGGATTTGGACGTGGGGGTGGCCGCGGAGGCTTTAATAAAGGCCAAGACCAAGGACCTCCAGAACATGTAGTTTGTACGTGGGTTTCTAAGTTTAGCCTACTTGGGGATGGGGACGGTCCTAGGAAGTTGTGGGTTTGTATCATTAGTAAGTGTGACTGGGGGTCAGGTACTGTAAGATAGGTCCAGCAACTCACACATGGAGGTCGCTGCTTGGTTGGGGAGTGAAATCTGTGGAGATGCTGTCAACGGCCTTATAATCATGCTCTAGTGTGTAAGGGGGAGATTAGGAAGGCTGAAGGACACTTAGAATGCATCATGGAGGTGGGACTTGAGCTTGGTCTGAAAGATAATTAAGTAGGTAATATTTTATGCTTATCTCTATTGTTCTCATTTTACAGGTAAGAAAACTGTGACTCATAGTTAAGTTTCTTTGACAGGGTCGTGGTTAGGAATAAATGATCAATCAGTAAGTGATGTATTTGAGATACAAAGCAAGTTTTCTGATACCAAGGCCCAGACTTTATCTTACTTATAAGAGAACTGAGAGAAAACTTTTTGCTTGGAAGAGAAACTGCAGAAGGAGGCCAAGAAAAAGACCTAATTTCTAGAGCAGTTTTGGAGTGATTATCAGTGAGGTGGGATTGAGATGGAAGTCAGGGAAAGTGACAGAGATTTGACAGTGGAAGCGTGTATCAAAGAGGAGAAAAGATGAACACAGTCCAACATAAAGAATGGGTTTGGTCAGTATGCAAGATGGTTTGCAGAGGGTAGTGGTTGGTCAGAGGTCCTAGCCCAGGGCCATTTCAACAGTCCTTGTGTGAGAGAAACAGTGAGAGCATGGTGGAAGTGAGAAGAAAAAGGAAGGGTTAGATGGGAGAGAGATTTCAATGGAAACAAATTCGGTAGAACTTGACTAATACTGTCCTGGGAAATGTTAAAGTGTTCCAGATTTTGAGCCTGAATGATAGGGATGGACAGTTGGTTTTGCAGCAGTGTGATGAATAATTTAGTTTGGGTTGACAGTCAGTTAGAAATGGAGGTAGTTATTTTGAGATTCCACACTTTTCTGGAAAAGATTGAAGAGTCCTTGGTGAAGAGATGGTAGTGGGAGGGTATAAAAGGGGAAGAAAAAAAGATAGGGGAACAGGGGTAAAATCAAGACTGATTTTACCATTAGGGATTGGGGAGAAGGAAGAATAGACATTGAAATGCAATATGGTGTTTAAGCAAATAATAATACTAGTTATTGATGTAATAAAACCACTGTTACAGGTTGAGTGGTCTCAGTGTGCCAGGCACTTTTCTAAGCACTTGACATTTAATATTGCACTTAATACTCAGAATACTATATGTTGGGTATTAAAGATGAGGACACTCAAGTTGAGAAAGTGAGGCTCTAACCCTGTGTCACATTGCTGGCTTTGGGGAATTGGAATATCAACACAAAGGCTTTGTACCTCAGGAGAACAGGTACGGTGAAATCCCAGGTAGTCAAGAAGAAAGCTTCCAGGAAAGGTTGGTCAATATCGTTTGAAATTGCTTTATACTTTAATGTTTTCTTATCCTGTTTCAGTATTAGGAGAGTTCCTACATCCCTGTGAAGATGACATAGTTTGTAAATGTACGACAGATGAAAATAAGGTGCCTTATTTCAATGCTCCAGTTTATTTAGAAAACAAAGAACAAATTGGAAAAGTGGATGAAATATTTGGACAACTTAGAGATTTTGTATCCTTTTTAATTAAAAGATATAGTAATCTCATTGAAAGGTTACTATTTGCTTTTTCTGGAGCTAGGCATTAGCTAAATTGAATCTGTTGCTTCATGACACTGTTGCTAAGATTGGAACATAAAAGAGAATCAAGAGAGGAGAATGTATTTCCATATATACAGGGGTGGCCAAAGATGGGTTTACAGTTTGTATGGTAAACATAATAATAAATAGCTATAAGAATAAACTTTTGCATACAACTGTAAACCAACTTTTGTCCAACCCTGTATTATAAAGGTAGGTCCTTTGGAAGGTTTTAGAAATGATTTCCATTAGGATAAGTGCTGCAGGATAGAGGTACTTTGCTTTGGATATGATGGGGCCCCTGGAATAGTATGGTGGAACTGGAAGTTTTAAAACAAAATATTAATTTCTCCTGGAAAACTCATTTCTCGCTATTTCTAAACATTTCCATATATCCTAACCTTGTTTTTAAAATTACATATGAATTCAGATGGTTACCTTTTTTTATCTTAATTGATTTTTCCTTAATATAACTAATAGTATTTTTCAGTTAAACTATCAGAAAACATGAAGGCATCATCCTTTAAAAAACTACAGAAGGTGAGTCAAGCTCATGGTATGCAGGATCCTTGGATTTATAAGTGAATGACCTACCCCAGGGCAGTCCTGTGTAGGGCACTTTGAGACTCCCTCAGTATATCACCAGCGAAGCTCTTAAATTGACATATTCTGTACTTCACACATTGAACTTATCATCTTGAAGAGTAATTTATTTAATACAGGCTTTCAGAAAGTATTCCTTGTTCATATTAGCAAATGCTGTGGTTGCTAGATTATGTTTTTTAGTTTATGTAAAACTATCTTATTGAAAAGCCTTGCATGACCAAATATTCTAAGTAAAATATTAAATTATAAAACTCATCTGAGAGAAGTCAGATATTAAATGATTTCACAGATATTTCGATAATTTCAGGTATGTGTGGTGCAAGAGAAATACAGGTAGCTATGAAAATGTTAGTAGTGGAACCAAATTTAGTGTCTTGGTGTTCTGAGGAAGTGAGCTTGAAGCTGAGACCGGAAAGTTGATTAGCAGTTATTGCCAAACCCACTTGTCAGAATTATCAGGGGGTGCTTTTAAGAAGATGTATTTCTGGGTTGCACTCCTAGAAATTTGGCCCAGAATGTCTTAGGTAGGGACCAGGACTCAGTTGTAGAAAGGAAAGCTCCTAGAAAACTGGGATGTAGTTAGGCTGCACCAGGCAAAGAGGAAAAGGAAATGCATTCATTACAAGTAGAGAAAACAGTATGTGCAAGTCTGAGACAGTAAGCCACTTGAAGGATCCGGAAAAGGCAGAGGTGTAGCTTGGACATAGAATATTTAGGAATGAGAAAATTGTGGATTAAGACTAGAGGTGGGCAGGGGCTAGATTAGTTAAGGCCTTGAAGTCATGGGAAAGAGTTGAGACTTCAGTGTTAGTTTAAATATTAGGACAAGTGTGGTTAAATTTATGCTTAAGAGCTCAGGAAAAATAAAAGAAACCTAGGAAGGGGTCAGTACTCTGTGTGAAGGGGCCAGGTGGAGGCTGCTGCATTAGTCCTGGAAGAGATATTTTGGACTGGAAATGGAGAAAAATGGATGGATTTATGAGAGAGATAGGAAGTAGAATTGGTAGGTTTTGGTAATTGTTGAGCTGTTGAAATTGAAGTAAAAATTGCTACCATCTTTCAGATGTCTGATTTCAGCACTTTATGGATGGTGTCACTGGTTGCTGAAATGGCAACCCTGGAGAAGAAGGGAATGGGGGAAGAGAATGAGTTCAGTTTTGGGTGATAATGAGTTTGAAGCATTTGTGAGATATTCACACAGGTGCTCAAAGGAAGAGTGGACTAGGGGCAGAATTGGGAAGTTGTCATTGAACAGGCAGTGTATGATAGAGTCTAGGAAGAAGCTTTGAGGCACCTCCTGAATTTATCTATCTGTAAGTCGAGACTCAGAAGTAACTGCCAAAAAAAGAGAAGGCAAACCAAAAGAGTTTCATAAAAGTGGTACCCAAAGGTCAAGAGAACAATATGTTCCCAAGAGGAAGGGCCACTCAGCCAAGGCAACGTTCTCATGGGAAAGAGCAACATGGAGGGCAGCAAGTCGTGGAGCCAATGGAGTGGGGGCCCAGAAGCTGGCGTGGGATAGGAGATGCGATGGGGACAATGCCTTCTTGCTGGCATCTGGCATCTGGCTGTGGAAACCCTGGCAAGTATGCACTGGGAAATTGTACTGCTTTCGGTGGGCCTAAGAGCCAGGCTTCTCATTTGAAGAAAAGAATTTGCCTGTAATAGCCATTTAAATTTGATCTGGATACCTTCCTTTTCTCACAGCATTATTTATTTGAGGATTTATTTAGTTGTTTTGTGTTTGTTCTTTAAATCACAGATACTGAATTAGTACATTGTACCTCTCCCCATTTCTAGATTCAGTGTTGAGGTTCAAGCCTTCCTCACCTAGCCTGTATTGTTGTAATGGTCTCTAGACTCATGCTGTCCAGTCAGATTTTCGGTGAAGATGGAAATTCTTACAGTACAGTAGCCATTAGCTATTTGTAGTTTTTGAGCACCTGAAATGTGGCGTGTGACTTGGGAGCTGAATTTTCAATTGTTAATTAATTTCAGTCTAGCCACATGTGGCTAGTGGTTGCCACATTGGACATTGCAGACCTAGATAATGTTCTTGAAGGGGTGGTCTCTGCAGGGAAGGAAGGTGATAAGGTGACATCTGCAGAGGGACTCAGACATTTTGTTATACTAATAAGTTTGAAGGCTTCATGTGTGTTTTGTGTACAACTGTGAAATGTACCCATTATATTTCATTATTATGAAAAAAGTATTTTTTAACCCTAAACGTACAGTGAATTTAGTTTCTACAGACCTTCCATTACTTAATATTTTCAGTAAAATATTATTGATCCTTTATTAAAGTCTTGAAATAACTAGTAGACATACTGGACATATGCTTTATTTTGGACTTTAATACTAAATTTTTAATGGTTTCATTTTTCTTACTGAATTCTGTTGAGTTAAAATGTTAATTTTTGCAAGGCATTATCTATTAGGAAGAATTAGATTGCATTGGTCTTTGGTCTTTCTGTTTATATATATGTTGTACTTATTATGTACCAAAGTTTAGGTGTTTTATGTACTTTATTCTTTTGATTTTCACAAGGATCACGTGAGGTAGGTACTGGGTTGGCCAAAAAGTTTGTTTGGTTTGTTTGTTAAATAGAATATACGGTTTTCATTTTCACTAATAATTTTACTGATTTGGATATGTCATCTGTCTCCTGTGTGGTATCACATTGACTGTTCTCCATTAATGTCTCAATTTGATTGTTGTCAACTTCAGTTGGTCTACCTGACCCTGGAGCATGGTCCAGTGAAAATTTCCAGCATGAAATTGTAAACCGCCTTTGACACGTTCAATTAGTCACAGCAACTTCTCCATACACTGCACAAATCTTGTTTTGTGTTTCAGTTGTATTTTTACCTTTCTTGAAATCATAAAGCATAGTATGCCAAAAATGTCTCTTCTTTCCTCCCATTGTCAGTATAAAAATGTTTACACAAAAATTCACCATTTATGATGAGCTTTTTTTAATAATGCACGCGGATACAATACAATCTAACAAAATTGTTTTGAATGAAGTTAGATGACCTAGTGCTACTAGAGCCATCATATGGAAAACACCAAATGAGCTGTTTGGCCGACCCAATACTTTATTATCGTGATTTTACAGATCAGAAAACTAAGACACAAAGAAACTTAAGTCCTTGTCCAGGGCTATACTGTAGTATATACTAGAGCTGAGATTTGAACCCAGGCATTTTGGAGTATAGGTGTAGGTTCTTAATGATTATACTATACTGCCTCCAAGTCATTACTCTAACTGTTTCTATTATACTTCCAGTTCTATATAGACCCATATAAGCTGTTGCCACTGCAGAGGTTTTTACCTCGACCTCCGGGTGAGAAGGGACCTCCAAGAGGTGGTGGCAGGGGTGGTCGTGGAGGAGGAAGAGGAGGAGGAGGAGGCATAGGTGGTAGAGGCGGTAAGTTACTTGTGGGATAAAATTTGTAATGAGATTTCCAACTTGCAGTCAATTTGTGTAGTACAATTATATTTTGTACATAGGCAAACCTCCCTAATGTTTGTTTACTTTTCTAAAGCTATGTTTAAATCTTGGCAAATTGTCATAGCAATAATGTTAGTTTCAATAACTTATGTTAAAAAGTCTAATAAAGTATAATTTTGAGGAATTTCATCTCTGAGTTTTTCATGTTTTGGGAATTTTATAAAATATAAGATCATAACTGAATTTTAATGTCATTGAGTGTTGATTGTATGCTGGGAGCTGGTCACATAGTTTCTTTAATAGCTAAGTATATTTTAATATTCAGAAAACCTTGCAAGGTAGGTGATATCCTTATTTTTTGGATGAGGACATGGAGGCTTACAAAAGTTAATTTGTCTTAATCAAACAATAGGCAGCCTAGAAATAAAATCTTTGTCTTCTGATGTCATGTCAAAGACCATTATCAATAAATTAATTGCTTTGAGGTCAGTATTTTGACACGTATTTCCTCAAGGCTTTGATACATTCATTATCATGGGCAACTAGCAGGCTTGGGGAAGAAATGGGATGGAGCACTGGGCGTGCTTGTGCCTGTGAGTGTTGTGGTGGGTGGACGCCTGGCAGGTGGGCAGAGCCAGTGGGGAAAGGAAGAGGAGCTGAAAACGGGGTTGGAAAGCTTCTGTTACTGGGTCATAAAAGAGACAACTCACTTTTCATATTGTGTCTCTTGACTTAATTATTATTTCACTCTATAAATGTACTTTGTGGGTGTAGATAGCTAGGAGATAATTTCTTAAGAGAGCAAACACATTTCTTTTTAAAATATTTTTGGGAGTGCCTCTTCGGGTATTTGATGGAGAGAGATCCCCTCATTCCTATTCTATATTTGATCTCATACACAATGTTAAAAAAGTTCACAACTCTAGTTTTTAAAAACCTTTGTATTTTTATACCAGTATTTAGAAATATGTATTTGTTTTTTTCTCTTAATGCTTTCTCTGTTATTTTTTATTGTTTTAAATATTTATTTATTTTTAAAGAGAGGGAAAGGGAGGGAGATTTGCATTGTGTATTTTTACCTCCTTTGTCATAGATTAATTGACCATATAGATGTAGGTTTATCGCTTGGCTCTCTAGTCTGTATTCTCCATTGATTATTGTGTCTGTTTTTATGCCAGTACCATACTGTTTTGATCACTAGTGCCTTGTAGTATAATTTGATATAATGTAGTACGATATCTCCAACTTTATTCTTCTCAAGATGCCTGTGAGTATATGAGGTCTTTTGTGGTTCCATATAAATTCTCGGATCATTTGTTCTACTCCTGTGAAAAATGCTGTTGGTATTTTGACAGGGATTGCATTGCATTTACAGATTGATTTGAGTAGTATGGACAGTTAACAATGTTAATTCTTTCTATCCATGAGCATGTTATATGCTTCCATTTATTTGTGTCTTTCTCAGTTTCTTTCTTCACTGTCTTGTAATTTTTTGAGTACAAGCCTTTTTACCTCCTTGGTTAAATTTATTCCTAAGTATTTTTTTGATGCAATTGTAAATGAGATTGTTTTCTTAATGTTTTCTTAATTTCTCTTCCTTATAGCTTATTACTGGTAAATACAAATGCAACTGATTTCTGGACATTAATTTTGTATCCTGTTACTTTACTGAATTCATTTAACAGTTTTAATAGTTTTGTTTGTTTGTTTGTTTGTTGACTCTCTAGGCTTATTTCTATATAATGTCATCTGCAAATGACAGTTTTACTTCTTCCTTTCCCTTTTGGATGCCTTTTTTTTTTCTTGTCTGATTGTTTTGGCTAGGACTTACTGTAATTTTTTTAAATTCATCATTTCGTACAAAATAAGCCTCCCCGCCCCCAAATAAGTAAAAAGGAAGACTGAACTAGGAAGCCAGTATGTGTTGGGTAATAGAAAATTGCTGTACAAATTTAAAATTTCAAGGCTCATCTACATGTATCAATGATGGTCCATATGCAGCTCAGTTAACCTTAAAGGGTGTGTTTATTGTCGAATGCATAGATGAAAACCACTCATTATCTGCTTTCCTTTGTTCTTATGGTAAAAAGCCATTGTTCAATCAAAAAAGTATTTATGTAACCAAAAGGTTAAGATGCTCATACAGTTAACAATAGGGCTAAATGCAGCTTTATAGTAACAAACTTTCCTAATTCACTAAAACGAAATACTTGTCACAGAAGTGAGGAGAACCAGGTTTGTTAAAGTAACTACGGTGATAGAAATGTATTAGCCTCAGAAGCTACTGAGGGTGGTCCATTCTAGCCTAGTACAGTGTAAAAAAACAAACCAACCCCAAACAAAAACAGAATATTAGTTTAAAAATTGTAATCTAGGGTTTTAGTCTGCTTCTCAATTGGGAAACTTCTATGTTTTTTCCATCTTTATCTTTTAAAAAATTCTATAAGATACATTTATGAATCTGTATTTTTCTTTATGATTGAAGGGATTGTATTGATATTTCTAGGCTTGTCAGAATATGAATGGCTGCAGTTATTTAATAAATGTGTCTTTTATTTTTAGGTGGCTTTAGGGGTGGAAGAGGAGGAGGTAGAGGTGGAGGCTTCAGAGGAGGAAGAGGAGGGAGTGGTGGTTTCAGAGGTAAATGAAAAATCTTTAAATGATTGAATTTCTAGAATTTGTACTGCCTACCATTTTAAATTATTTATTTATTTTTATTTCTATTTATCAGCAAGTCTGTAGACTACCCTGGAGTTCTTTGCTTTATCCTAATTATAACTTCAGTTTATATCACTCTTACTTTTTCCCTTTGAATTTTTTTACCTTCAAGTTTATTTTGATGTATTTTTAATTTGAAAAATTAAAAACGTGTGTTATGAATGACAGTTAAATTTGGTAAATATGTTTGCTAAACATTACAAGGACTAATGTTGATTTTAAACTTTAGATTTGGGTGATAGTACTATTAAAAATTCATTTCTATACCTTTAATACTTTTGTTTTCTTTTAATCAGGGAGAGGACATTAGGTGTAAAAGTTGACAGAGGAACTTTACCAGTTGATTTCTGCATTAACCTGCACGACCTACTTCTGGGGATCAGTGATTTGTTTTTTGAACAAGTCTTGAAGTCCTGGGGATTATATGACTGTGGCATTCAGATGTCAGCATCATTCAAACATGAGTGTGGCAGAACAGGAGGCATTTATGCTCTAAAGGGGTCTGAACAAGTGTTCTTGTGTTTTGTATTCTGCCTGGAATTGTGATTGCTTAATAAATGGACAGTTTTCCTATGAAGCATATTTGAATTTTTATAATAAAAGTGTCTTTTATCAACCTTTAAGTTATTTAGAGTTGTGTTAATTAAACCAGAGCTATTTTTGAAATTAAAATGAACAACTAAAACCTAAACCCAGTGTTTTTCATGTAGGGAAAATGATTTATGTATGGATATAACTGATCCTTAAAAATTAGGCTAGCGAAGCAGTGCTTTACTATTTGTAAACTAACACCCTTTCAAAGTTTTTGCCTTTTATATACAAGAACACCAACACCCTTTATTGTATTTTCTTTTTTTATGTTAGTAAGCAGTGTCTCTAATTGTAATGATTAATTGGTCAGAAAATTTTAGCATGGATTACAACTCTATTAAAGTTGGAACAGCTTTGTTCAAAGTAAGAACTAAAGTTCAAGAAATTTCTGAAGACAAGTTTAATTTTTCTCATTTAATATAGTTCAAATGTTGAAAGTTTTACTGATTGTTCTTATTTTACTTTTTTAAAGGTGATTCTAAAAGTTTAAGATGTCATTCACGTAAGCAGATACTTGATTTCTTTCCTGCTACACGTCCAGAATCCTGGGTGGAGACACGACTAGTGGGATTGGTTTTGGTCCCTGTTGGTGCTGTGTCAGAAGTAGTCATGAAAGCAAGTTAGAATACTGTGATACAGGACCATTTCCCCTGTCACTGGTTTCCCTCCAACTTGTGTTTTTTCTCAGAAGAATGATGTTGGAATATCTTTTCCTAAATTTTTCTAACCTAATACTCCTGGGAGTAGCATATAGTATGGTCTACGTCAGTATTGTGGGTTTTACTTATCTTTTTGGATTAATGGAATTGTGGCAACATTAGTAGTTATGTAGGCTGTGAATATATATAACAAACAAATGTGTTGAAAATTACTGTTTCACGGGAGAAATAGTTGTGCTTTCACAACATGAAACAGAAGGCTCTTTGATTTAGAATCGTCAGGTTGACAATTTTAGAGTTAAGGCCAGGGTTTCTAGGCTTAGTTTATAAAAGACATGGTGAGCACCAAAGGGGCTGTGACATCTTCCCAAGGACAAATAGTAACATTCCCACACTTTTTTTTTACCATTTAAAAAAATGTCTTAAAATGTCTATGATAGAAGTAGTGTATATGTCGGTAGACAAACCACTTAGAGATTTCACCTTGTTCTTAGGTGTATCTTGTGGTCATTGGTGACCTTTAATCTTTTATTTTCACATCTTATATTTTCTTCCCTATGTAGTTCTTTGTGGGTTTCCTTTGGGGCATTTAGTTTTGAATCAAGTTCACATATTCAGGGAGCTTAACATCAGTGAATATGGTACTGTGGTATCACTAAGTTCCATTGTAAAAGATATTTTGATTATTCACATTAAATCTTTTGAGTTAACTGAATTAACATGCTGATTGTTTGCATCATGTTAAAATGCATTTGTTGCCATCACAAACAGTTTAATGGAATATAAGCCATATTTCCCCATATTCCTGAAAATTTGAGAAGAGCTATGAAAGGAAGATTGACTAGGCAATTGAAGTTTACAACATTGAAGAATTGTGAGCTATGTAAACATTTTTATATGAAATAGGTCTATTTCTTAGTATTCTAAGCCTCATCCCAATACACCTTTTCTGTTTCACTCATGAAGGAAGCATGAAAAAGTACTTTGAATATACCTATCTACAGCAAATAGATGGCCATCTTTGGAATTACTCAGTTTTTATAAATAGAAGTAATTATTTCTGGGAAATTTAAATGGATGTAACAGCTAGGTACAGTCCATCACAGAAAAGGAAAGGACTAGACTAAAACAGTTGAAAATGTTTTGTTTCCTGCATATTGAATATGAAAAAGATTAAAAACCCAACAAGGATTTTAAAAGGGACAGTTCCACTTAAATATGTCTATTATTTCAGTGTTAGTTGAAAATATTTTGTTACTGGACTACTGTTCAAATTTACTACTATTGATACTGTCAAGTATTTACATTTATTAAAAATTTGACTTCCGGTAGATCTTAAGATCTGGGACAGGTCACCCAATCTAGGTCAACTGCTTCAGTTTATAAATAGCTAAGAGAATTGAGGCAAAAATCTCTTGGGCCCCTTCCTGCTGTGCCATTCTAAGGCATACAAGATTAAATTGAGTGGGGAAATGTAGCCCTCTAGTGGTCATCATGCTTACACTGGTGTGTCTAGCATATTTATAAAATTTAATCTTTCCCATTTCTATTTAGTCCCCTTATAACCACCTCCCCTCAGCAATCACCACACTGTTGTCCATGAGTCCTTTTTCCTTTTTAATCCACCCTTCTACCCACTAACCTACCCCACACCTTAGCTGTCATCCTGCTCTCCATGTATGAGTCTGTCTCTATTTTGCTTGTTAGTTCAGTTCATTAGATTCCACATGTGAGTGAAATCATATGGTATTTGTCTTTCTTTGGCTTATTTCACTCAGCATAATGTTCTCCAAGTCCATCCATCCTGTTGCAATGGGTAAGATTTTCTTTTTTATGGCCGAGTAGTAGTCCATTGTATAAGTGCCCCATAGTTTTATCCACTCATCTACTGATGGACACTTGGGCTGCTCCCAATATCTTGGTGATTGTAAATGCTGCAAGCATCTAGCATTTTTCTAAAGTTACTGATTTTAAGAAATTGTTGAATCAGACTTTAGTAATATATGGCATAAAAATGGGGAAAATGGTGTTGGGGATATCACTCTCTAATAAATGTTAGTGTTAGATTGTAACCCACTTATGTAACCTACTTTTTGAGTTATAACAACATAGTCCAGAGTAATAGAATTGCCCTGTACTTTACAAGATGAATGATTGAACCCAGGCACTTGGCTGATGTATGTTGTGATTATTATCAGATAATTGTGCATATTAAGTATAGGATAAATAAGGTGGATGGTGAAGTAGATCATGCTATATCCATATTATGAACCACATAGCTATTAATAAGTTAGACTTAGATTTGTAGACCTGGAGTTTATGATACGGCCTTCGAGGAAAATGTTATAGAATAATTTTATGTATTCATATATCCATTTTTGCTCAAAAGGAAGTGGAAGAAACCTCAAACCATTGTATAAACATGTCTGTATAAGCAAAGATAATCAATCAGAAAGGGTATAAACCAAATAATATTATTACCTTTAGGGGCATGAGATTTGGAAAGATGTGGGCAGATTAGTTTTTTATTTGTCTCTCTTAAATTGTTAAGGGAAACCTTTAAAACCAAAACTATTAATAGTTTTAGAGGACTAGGTCTGGCTCTTAGTTTCAGAACTGATGACCAGCAGAAAACAGTTAAATCAGCTCCTGCACTGATTTTCCGAGTTTGTCCATTGTTTCAATGGATGTTCACACTTGATAATCTCCCTAGGTATGTAAGACTGATGCCCAAGTTGGTTAGAATGTGTGGTTTGGTATTTCTCTTTACTTTGCTGGTAAGCTTTTCCCTTGCTCTGGGAATTAGTTCCTTTCCTTTTTAGCCCGGTCACATTTGTTAAGGGAGGGCCCTAATGAAAAGGCTATTCTCTGAGGTCTTGAGGTGGAAATGATTGGTTCTGAAAATTCTGCAGTGGCATTTTCAACAATTTATAATTATTGAAAGCTTATTATGAAGGCTGTCTCAGTATCTTCATCCAAAATGCTCCAGGATAATTTAGGCAACAGTTCAGGCTCTCAAAATGAAGATGGCTCTGTCTTTTCACAGGCTGAACACAATATTGTTGCAACTTACTTGATTATGGCAGGTATGGATGTTTATTACTCTGTTAACGGTCTTTTTGCTTTCGAGTGGGCATAGAAAAGCAGGGGTTTTCAGCATAAGGCAGTAGAAAAAGCATGGGTTCAGAGGTAATGTTTCAGGCTCCACATTGATGGCAAACCTGAAGTCACTTATCCTTTCTGCGTTGGGGTGCTCAAGTGATTAAGGCTGATGATACCCACTCTGTTTTCTGGCTGTGAAGATCAAATAAGAGAATGCAGGTGAGGCAATAAATGAAAACACTGTTAATGGTGGTTAATGCCACGCATCACTTTGAATCTTGACGCACAATGTAATAGCAGTGAAGTGGGGCTGAGAAAAGTTTATAAAATTAGTAATTCTTTTATAATCCATATAATTGGTTAATACATTGTTAATTTTTTATTGGGGAAGACTGTACCATGACAAAATGCATTTTTATGTCATTTACATACTTTTTGTAGTTTTACATACTTTTTGTAGTTTTGTCCTTGGTGGTGGAGTCTAGTTAAGATTGAAAAGTCCTGGAAAGAAAATTGGTATCATAAAAAGAGAGAGCAGCGTGTATTGGCAGTCACTGAGGATGGAGTTGGAAAATTCAGCCCCTTCCAGAGTGCTGTATTGAAAAGGGCTCGAGCTTTGGAGTTCATCTTTTAGTATCTCTGCAACAGTGAACGACTTCTTTCACCTCCTTGTCCTTTTATTTTCGTATCTTTTCAATGGGGGTAAGAGTAAGCTACTTGTTATGATTCTTGTGGAGTGACATTTACTGACATAAATACACAAATGACACATATAGTAGGTGCTGGACAAATATTTGTCCTCCCCCCATAACATACATTCACTGATGCGTATATTGGATTAAGATGAACGAATGGGGGAAATGACAATAGCTCTCTGCTTATCTTTATTCACAGGTTGAATTGTGGTATAAATTTTATGTTGGCCAGTCACCATATTTCCAACTATGCTCAGTAATGCATTTCAGCCATAACTGTTATTTTTGGATTGATTTAAACACATTTTCAAATATGTTCACAAGCAGAGTGAAAAGTAAAACAAATCATACTGTATCTAGTTTATTTCTTACAATTTTTAGTTTCCCTGTAATTCACGATTAGAATGTTATTTCTGTGCTATACTGTATTTTCTGAGTTAATTTTTGTAAATTTTAACGACATGCTAACTCATTCATTTGAATACTTCTGTATGATAATTACTGGACAAGTTCTTTTGATTTTTTTTTCTGTATGAGAAAACAGTACGCCACGTAAAGAGAAAATCATATTACAATTACATAGAAATACTTTGTATATAAAACTTTTGGTTTAGTTTTTCTTTTTGTAGATGACCAAGAAAAGCTATCATTTTTGATGTAGTTACAGAAATAGTGTGCAAAGAAAATTTCCTGTTAAAGTGTTCTACACAGTTCTTACCTCTGTGGCATTCATAGTGGTAATGTTACTGCTGTGAGTCCGATGACTGCGGCTGCCACTGCCACCACCTCTCTACTGCCGCGGGTACTAATGCCACCATTTGAATAGTTGGTGTATACTAAGCACTGTTCTAAATACACGTACAGCATAGCTCATCCTTACACTAATTCAGTAAGTGAGTCCGTTTTACTTCCCCCTTTATAGAGATGGAGAGTTTAGGTAACTTGCCCAACACACATGTCTGCTAAGTAGTTAGATCAGGGTTCGCACTTAGGCATTTTGGTTCTTGAGCCCTCACATAAATCACAGCAGTGTTATCAAGGGGTATCATGAATATTTGGGTTTTTAGTAGATGAGCTGAAGGGAGCATATCTAACCTCTTTATGCTTTTGTTCAAACATTTATTATTTTTAAGTTCCCCTAATTTTCACCTTCAACAAAACATGTGAACTTCCCAAATACAAAATTATGAGGAAAAATGTTCAAACATTTATTTCATTTGTTACTTTTACTAAGAGCCTATTTAGATTTTTTAATTTAATTTTTAATTTACCATTTCTCTTAGATTTTAGCTATTACAAACTTTTACCAACTTCAGCAATATCTCTTTCTACAGCCGAGGGCATGAGGTCATGGTGAATGGAGGATCTGAAATTCAGTATGAATTCAGACAATTCTAGGACACCAATGACACTTGAGTTTCTTCACCTGCAAGGCAATGAGTCAGATCTAAGACAGAAAACTTGACTAGAGTGATATAACCTGTGAGGCTTCTCAATTACTTGAAAGCCAGCCCCACTTCCTCTCTGGATAGCCACACCTTGCTCTGTGTGGGTGCTGGAGGAAGAACTCAGATTTGGACATGTTGAGGTTTGAGTAACATTGGAATAGTCCTATGATCTAACACACATAGATACCTCAAAAATATTTAGTGACACTTAAAAGAAAAGGGATATGGAACTGGAGCTTGGCTTGGGGCTGGAAAGTAACAGAAGAGCTTGTAGGATGATAGTGTATAAAGTCTGTCCAAAAAGTATCCAATATGAAAAATAGAGACATTTCTTGAAGATACAAGAAACATTGTACACAGGACAAGGACGCCTCAGGCCCCTTGAAAGGAGGCACCTTGGGACCTCACACAGTTCTCCCAACTGCCACCAGCTGCCCTGTTGTATTTTCCTGAATCTCATAACAGTCTCAAATCTCCACCCTATCAAAGGTGATTTTAATTTTGAGAAAAGCCAGAAGTCACAGGGCACCAAATCTGGGCTGTAGCAGGACTGAGTCACCTGGGTGATTTGATGTTTCACCAAAAAACTGCATGAGATGTGATGCATGAGCAGGCATGTTGTCATGATGAAGCTGCCAGTCACCAGCTGCCCCTAGCTGTGGACTTCTGAAGCATCCAAATAGTTTCCATAGAGGAATGTTCAACTTTAATGCAAAATTTGATGCAGTTTCATTGCTATACTCGCTCAGGGATTTTGAATGTGACAGCCACATAGGACACATGCTCACTGGCATCTACCTCCCCCAATGATGAGTACAGTGAAGTCATTATTGTTCTCATATGCACATTCTAGTCCACTCTCCTTGCCTGCCAGGTTACATCAATGTCACACAAACTGTTCTTGTTATATTAACAATCATTGAACTTTTTCCAGACAGATCTCGTATGACAGTTGAGGCTTGAGAAGGATACTATAAAGAAAGACTCTCAGGCATTTGAAAGGAGGAGGAGGATGAAGTTAAGCTCCAAAAGTAATGAAACAGTCCTACATATATCCTAACTATCAGCAGGGCTGGTATGAAAGGCAAGTGAAGAATTTAAAGGGCTGTGATTAACAGTGATGACATTACAACCAGTCTTGCCCTGGCCAGGTGACTCGGTTGGAGCATCGTCCCATACACCAAAATTTGCAGATTCAATCCCTGATCAGGGAGCATACCTAGATTTCGGGTTTGATCCCTGGGGCATGTATGAAAGGCATCCGATCTATGTTTATCTCTGTCTCTCAACTCAATAAACATATCCTTGGGTGAGGATTAAAAAGAAGGACACAGGGACAAAGCCAAAGAAGGTGGGTTTGAGGGTGGGAGGTGGGAATTGGTGGAGCGCGGGATGAGCGTGGTGGGGTGAAAATGGAGATGACTGTACTTGAACAACAATAAAAAAAAGCCAGTCTTTGGTACTGATTTATGCAATTGGCAGATTTTCTAATGTTTTAATTTTCTTACTTCTGTATTACAGAAGGGCTGTGAAGATATGAAACTAGTTTTAGGAACAGCTAGAGCTCTTCAAATCGATGAATTAAAATGGATTTACTATGTTTAAAATTTTTAAATTTTATTTAATTTTTTAATAGCTAACATTTTGATTTACTTATTTCCATTCTTTACTGTGCAGAAAAATTTAATATAGTTAAAACCATATGGTATACACATCATATATGCTTCTTTTTACATTTAATTTTATATCATAAGCATTTCCCTGTTAGACAATGCTATGTGAAAATACTTTTAACCAGTATAAGAGTCCCTCACATGGCTATTCCACAATTTATTTAACCTCTCCAATCTTGAGCATTTAATCTATTTCTTTAATATAAATAGGGCTGTGATGAATGTCTTTGTGAAGGAAAAACTATTTTTAGGGTTACTAATATATGTATATTTATTGTAAATTATTCAAACATTACAGAAATGTATGATTTAGCACAGTATTTTAAAATAGTGGGTTGAGCAATATACTTGGAATATATTTGGAAGCAAATGACATTTTGATGTTTTGCTTTTTATCACACACAAAAATACCAAACATAAAGAAAAGTAGGGGAAATAGTATCATGAATTACCACATACTCATCACCTGGGTATATACTTTTTGCTTTTTCTTCACTTTTAAGATTTACATGGACTAAAGTTCACCCCTTTTTGTGTGTCCTGTGACTAGACAAATGCATAGTCATGTTACCACCACCACGATCAGGTGACATTCTGTCACCCCCTCCCCCCAAATTTCCTCATTCTTCTGCTCTGTTGTGAACCCTTTTGCCACCCCAATCCCTGGCAAGCATTCATCTGCTTCCTATTATTTTTTTCTTTTTGCCTTCTCCAGAGTGTCATGTAGATGGAATCAGCAGGCCCACGACTAGCGTGAGGCATGTGATGTGCCTACAGCGCAAAACGCAAGGAGGTAGCACTCTCAGGTCTGAACCTGCGGAGCACTGCTCTGCCCACCCGCCTTGCCCCAGCCTGCTCCTCCGCCCTAGGAATCAGACCGTGTGCAACATTCGGGTGTGGCTTCTTCAACGCAACATAATGCATTAGGGAGTAACACGTGCTGTTAGATTTAATAATGGTTTATTCCTTTTTATTGCTGAGTATTATTCTTTGTACCCCCCTTTTCAAATGCACTCGTCAATTAACAGACATGTACGTTATTTCAACTTGCTGGCCATCATGAATAAAGCTTCTGTGAACATCCATGTGCACTATCAAATTTTTGTGTGGATGTATGTTCTCATTTATCTTTTTTTTTGTACTGCTTGGTTATGTTTTTAATTGTATTTTTCCTTTACTTTTTAACCCCCTTATATCCTTTTCTCCCTTGCAGTCACCACACTGCTGTCCATGTTCACGAGTCCTTTTTCCTCTTTGCTCCACCTCTTAACCTTCTCCCCAATAGCTGTTATCCTGCTCTCTATGTCTGTCTCTGTTTTGCCTATTTGTTCAGTTTGTTCATTAGATTCCACATATAAGTGAAGTCATGTGATCTTTGTCTTTTTTTTTTACAGCCGAGTAGTATTCCATTGTGTACATGTCCTACAGTTGTTTCATCTACTCATCTACTGATGAACACTTGGGCTGCTTCCATATCTTGATGACTGTAAAAAAGCATAAAGCACCTAGTATTCCCAGATGGTCTCCCATCCAAGTACTAACCAAGGCTGACCCTGGTTAGCTTCCAGGATCAGACAAGGTCTGGTGCATTCAGGATGGCAAGGCATTACACTCATTTGAGTATATACCTAGGAGTGGGATTGTTGTGTCAAATGGTAATGGTATGCTTAACTTTATGGGAAACTGCCAAAGTGTTTTCCCGAGTGCCTGTACCAGCTGGTATTCCTACCAGCTATATATGACAGCTTGAATTACTCTGCATCCTCAGGGGCTCTTGGTATTGCCAACTTTAAAAAAAAACACACATAGCAGGTGTGTCCATCACTTAGATTTAACAATCCACTTGAAGTTTTAATATTTTAAAGTAAATTATCATGTCATCCTACCTTTAAAAATTTCAGTATGTATGTCTAAAATATAAAGATATTTCCCTACATAAGCACAATATCATTATTATGCCTAACAAGTACAACAATAATTTCTTAATATCATCTAAAACCCAGTCATATTCAAGTTCCCCCAGTTGTCATTAAATGTCTTAATGTGCTCAGCCTGAAAACACGAACTAGGGTATAACATGTCAGAGTGTACTTCATGTGGAAAGGGTAGGCACTGTTTCTTAGAAAGTTGTTTACATGGGACTTTTTTTAAACATAATTTTTTATTTTTCAATTTCAGTTAACATACAATATTATATTAGTTTCAGTGTACAATATAGTGATTAGACTTTTATATAGCCCAGAAAGTGATCGCCCCAATCAATCTAGTACCCATCTGACACCATACCCCTATGCTATACTGTACATCCCCATGACTATTTTCTAACTACCAATTTGTATTTCTTAATCCTTCCCCCCTTTTTACTCATTCCCCAAACCCTGTTCCATATGGCAACCATCCAATGTTCTCTGTATCCATGAGTTTGTTTTGTTTGTTGATTTTTTAAAGATTCTTCATAATAAGTGAAATCGTGTGGTATTTGTCTTTCTCTGTCTGACTTATTTCACTCAGTTTAATACCCTGTAGGTCCATTGATGTTGCAAATGGTAAGATTTCATTCTTTTACGGGTGATTCATATTCACATTCCATTGTATATATGTATCACTTCTTATTTATTTAATCACCTTCTGATGGACACTTAGGTTGTTTCCATATCTTGGCTGTTGTAAATAATGCTGTAATGAATATATATGTATATATATGCATAAAAGGGGCTTAAATGTTTAATTTTGACACTACTTTTAAGCATTTTTAAACATAAAATAAAGTATATAATATTTTTGTGTATGTTCTCAGGTACGATAAGTATTCTCAGCAACATCATAGTTCTGAGCACCTTCATCAAGTTCAAAGAGCTTCGGACACCCACAGGTGCAGTTATCATTAACCTGGCTGTCACAGATATAGGGGTCAGTAGCATTGGCTATCCCATGTCTGCTGCTTCCGATCTGCATGGAAGTTGGAAATTTGGATATGCGGGGTGTCAGGTATTGGAGATCTTTGGAATGAAATCTTAAAAAAGTAGATTAAAGCGTTAGGCATTTAAATGTCTAAAAAAATTCCATGGTTTTAATAAAATAAGATCATACAAGATACTAGTTATGGTGCTCTTATTAAAAACAGTTTCAGGAGTGGTTGAGAAATATATTCTTTAATATGAGAAATGAAATTACTGGCCATATTTATATATTTTTAAAATTTCCCCAACCCAAAGGAAAAAAAACAAATAAAAAATTAACATTCAACTAAAGAACAAAAGCAAATACTTGCATATTCAAGTGAAAACTAGCACATTGCAAATTGGAAAACAAATACCATGCTTTTATTTGAAACAATAAATATTAATGACATATCATAATATCTAAATAAGATAGTTAAGCTGTCTACCACATTATTGATTTTTTTGGTATGGGAAGTCCTCCATGAGAATTGCTGTTAAATATATCTACTATTATTTTTACTGACAACAAAATAAATTAATATTAATTTTCATTAAGATAGTAGGCAAATAAGACTCTTGGTCTGATTTTTTAAAAGTTTACTATATTAACTATAAAATTGTAAAGAGTAAAATGAGACTAACAGAGAAAATGAATACCCATCTATGCACCAGCCAGTTTTATCAAATCTTAATGCTTTTCAACATGTGCTTCAGGTTGTTTTTCTCTTCAAAGATAAAAAACTTTACAGATGCTGTTGAAGGTCAGTGCAGACCATTCTGATCTTACTCCTTTTTCTCCCATGAATGTTTTTCTATCTTACTACATAAGATAGAAGATGTTTATGTACATTTCTGTGTACATAAACTAAATACTGGTTGAATGTTTTAAATTTTGTGTAAATCATATATTGTCTGCATTATACAATTTTCATTAGTCAATAGTTTTGAGGTTGAGCCATGTTGATGCATATAGCTATAAGTCATTAATTTCATGAACATACCCCAACATGCTTACTCATTTTTCTGTTATTGAGCATTTCTTCCCAATGCTTTTCTCTCATTAAAAAAAAAGGCTTCACTGAATGTTCTTATACATGCCTCGTACAATATGTGAGGGTTTCTTTAGACACATCGCTTAGGGGAGGGTAGTTGGGTTGTAGAAAATATTCATTTTCAAACTTATCAGATGTGGCCAAATTGCTCTCCAAAATGGTGATGCCATTTATAAGAGCTTCTATTACTTCACATTCTCCCCAGGGCTTTGGATTGTCAGACTTTAAATTTTATAATCATTTTGATAGGTGTATTATGGTGTCTATAATGTTCACTTCTTTGAATATGTAATGTGGTACATATATTTTTATGTCATAAACATTCAGATTTCCTCTTGTATAAATAGCCTCTTTTTCTGGTTGTCTTTTCCCGTTATTAAGTTGTCTACCTTCTGAACACTAATCTTTTGTTGGTTACGTGCACTGTACCTAACTTATGGTTTGAATTTGCACTCTAGAGTATATTGTATAGAAATTTTATTTTGTCTTTAAATGTTAAAAAAGTTTATTTTAATTAATGAAGTCTCAAAACACTTTTCATAAATACCTTTTTTAAACCAGTTACAATTTGACAATGGAAGATGTGTTTTAAAATTAGTACAAAAGAGCAGAGGGGGGCAATAATGATGGAAAGAAGGGGAAGGGGCCAGATGAAGCACATGTATGAATGGCCCACAGACACGGACAACAGTGTGGGAATTGACAGTGGGATGGGGATGGGTGGGACAGGTGGAGGAGGGCAAAGGGGAAAAGCTGGGACAATTACAATAGAAAAACAATAAAAAATGATTTAATAAAATCAGCATAATAAAATACATTTAATGTATTTAAAATATATTCTCACAATGGGATAAAAATGTAAATGTCTCTTGGAAGGTGTGTAGAGTGGTGGATTCTGTACAATTTTGATTTTCAGATTTATGCTGGCTTGAATATCTTTTTTGGAATGGCAAGTATTGGCTTACTCATGGTCGTGGCCTTGGATCGATACCTGACCATTTGCCGACCTGATGCAGGTGCAGTGCTTTTCTCAGCTTTCTCAATGAATCCTTTTCTTGCCTAAGTGCCCCTTGACACAAAGCCACTTTCAAGTGTGAATATAATGGCTGCAATTGCAGTCAGCTCCATTTCTCCGACGATCTTTGTTCAAAAGTTTAATGACTTCCTATTATACTTAGAATAAAATTCAAATTTCCTAAGAGTTTCAGAGCCCAGCTGCTTTTCTAGCTTTGACTAGCATTCCCTCACTTTGGGGTCTTGGCCAACCCTTCTCCCAATTTTGGGACTTTGTAGATGCTGTTTCCTTAGGTCTAGAAAGTGCTTCTCTCAGCTTATCCTCTGGCTGATCTGGTAATCCTTGTGTATAGGCTTTTTTTATTTGAAGATTTTATTTATTTATTTTTAGAGAGGGGAAGGGAGGGAGAAAAAGAGGGAGAGAAACATTAATGTGTGCTTGCCTCTTGTGCACCCCCTACTTGGGACCTGGCGCACAACCCAGGCATGTGCCCTGACTGGAAATTGAACCTGCGACACTTTGGTTCGCAGGCTGGCACTCAATCCACTGAGCCACACCAGCCAGGGCTGTGCATAGGCTTTGAGTGAGCTAAGGTGCTCTATAAACAATCTACTTGATAACAATTTTTAAATAATCAGTTAAAATAAAATGAGGATATGAATTGCATTACTGGCAAATGATGCGACTATTTCATATGTTTGTTAACAGGAAGAAGAGCGGCCACACGCACTTACCTCAGCATGATCCTGGGGGCCTGGGTCAATGGCCTCTTCTGGGCTTTGATGCCTATCATAGGGTGGGCTAGTTATGCCCCCGATCCTACAGGTGCTACCTGTACCATAAACTGGCGGAAAAATGATGTGTAAGGGACACTTTTACACTTGATAATCAATGCTTCTGATGTAGACATGTTCTTACCATTTCAAATTTAAGCTCACATCAAATGTTTTCCGTACAGAGTGTTGAAGAGCTTCCTTGGTAGGGGTGATGTGATTCCAGCATTGAATTATGCTTGTTTGCAAGTAAAGGCCGTCCAGCACCCCTTGCCATGATTAGCCTATCCCTTCATCTCTCTCCTCTGGCAGCAAAGGAGATACAGGGCACCCTTTGGCATCTGCACCTCAGAGGCAGAATCTGCGAGGCATAAGGGGTGTTGGTATTGCTAGACAGCACGCAGCTCGGGCAAAAGCCAGGGTTGGCTCCTTCCCGTCTTTTCAAAATGATCCAGTGATAAAGCACCTTCTGAGAATTATGCAGCAAAAGCACCATCCCTGCAAGGATTTTCTTGCTAGTTAGTGATGCTTTTCTATATTTACCAAGGAAGAGGATAATTTAGTTTGTTAAAGAAAATGAAACAAAGTTTCTAACTCTAAAACTAAATCTAAAACCTTTTGTGTAAAAGGTGGACAAGTACACATTTTAAGTTTTACAGGCAAGACTATGCCTATTACAACATTCCACTGCCTGTGCAAGCAGCCATGGACAGGATGTAAAGGGGTGTCCAGCCTGTGGCATGGGCTGCTTGCGGCCCAGCACAAAATCATAAATTTACTTAAAACTTTTTTTTGCTCATCAGATTTCATTAGTGTTTGTGTATTTAATGTGTGGCCTAAAACAACTCTTCTTCTTCCAGTGTGGCCTCGAGATGCCAAGAGTTTGGACACCTCTGTCAGAATGTGGGCCCAACAAAACTTTATTTACAAACATAGATGACAGGCTGGCTTTGGCCCGGAGGCCATAGTTGGCCAACCCCTAGACCAAATGGACTGAGAGTCAAATACACGTCCTAAGCCGTCAAATAATATAATGGCTGCTGGACAGTGCCAGTATTGTTTCCAATAATAATCCTGCTCCCTCTCCTCGATTTAGTACATTAAGCAAGCAGTCCTGTAATGACTCCCTTTTCTTACTTTCAGATCTTTTGTGTCCTTCACCATGACAGTCATCGTGATAAATTTTCTTGTGCCCTTGACAGTGATGTCCTACTGCTATTACCATGTTGCTCGATCCATTGCATGTCGCACTGCTGGAAACTGCACTGACTTCCTCAGCAGAGACTGGCCAGACCAGGTAGCCGTAACAAAGGTAAGGCGCTAACATCCTTGAAATGCATAGTAATCAGGCTTTTACATGTCCGTGGTCCCCTGGCCCCTGCCATCACTTCTCCCCACCCCCTTGATTCTTACTGTCTGGTTCTTTTGTTTCTTGTTTGCCTCCATATTCCTAAACAATGCAAATCTGCTGTTTTCAATATTTTTGTTTGCTCTTCTTGACTTCTCACTGTGGACAATGAGGATTTGTTTCTCTTATGCAACCAAACTTTTCTATTCTTCCTCACCAACCTTTCTCTTTCCTCATCTTGTTTGGTTAGATGGAGAGTCAAGTTTACATTGTTGTGATTACCTAAATTTTACTTATTGCAGATTTCTGTTGGGGTCAATGATTTGTATTTCATTTTAAATGATTTTTAAAATTTTTCAATCACAATTGATGTACAATATGATATTAGTTTCAGGTGTACAACCCAGTGATTAGACATTCATATAATTTACTGAGTGATCACCCTGATTCATTTTTTATAAAACTTTTTGCCCATGGAGTTAATGATTTGTTTATTTTTTTATTTCTTGCTCTTTCTCCCTTCTTCTCTCTCCCTTTGTTCGTTTGCTTACTCCCCTGTGCACCTGTCACTAATTCATCTCTAATCTCTCCGCCAGCAGCATCAGTTTCCTCTCAGTACTTTCAAAGGCATCGGAGACTCTCTCCTTTTCTTGGAATGTTGCTTCCTGGCACTCCCGGGCCTCTTGTCCTGCTCTACACCAGCTGTTTTCTAAAACCACAGTCCAGAAAGCTGGCATCCTCTCTCTTGGGTCAGACCTCCTGGTTTCTGGTTTTCATGTCTTCCTTTTTCTTGGTTATTTCCTCTCATTTGGTGGAGCACATTCGCAAGCAGATTCCTGAGAAAGCTATCAGGAAGTAAAGTTTTAAAGATTTTGCATGCCTGAAAATGTTCTAAAATTCTACTATCACAATGGACTGATTGTTTGCCTGGTATAAAATTCTAAGTAGACAAATGATCTTCCAAGAACTTTGAAGGCATGCCCTATAATCTTCTAGCTTCTGGTGTTGCTCTTGAGAAGGTTCACAGCATGCTGGTGACTGACTCTTTGTTGCAATCTGTGTTATCTCTGGAAGCTGGTAAGATCTGGTTTTCTGGATGTTCATGCTGGTGTGCCTTGGTGTGGCTCTTCGTTTACCATGTGCTGGGCTGTGGTAAGTGCCTGCACTAGGGAGACCCGGGCCCCCCTTTGGGAGAGTTCTTACGTTATTTCTCTGGTGATCTCCCACCCTGCTTTGTTTTCTCCGTTCTCTTTTCCTGGAACTTTTTTTATTTGGATATTTAATCTCCTGGATTTATCTTCTAATTTTAAAAAATTTGTCTCTTTTATGTTGTCCCTGTTTGGGGTTTGTTTTTATTTCTACTTTCTGACAGATTTCCTCAGCCTTGTCCAGGTCTGGGATCGGGTAGGGAGAGTGACACTTAAGCCATGGGTGCAAAATTTAAGTAGGCACCAAAAAATTCAGTGATTAAAAAAGCAGTTAATGCAATATTGTTAAAAATAAAAATTAATGCAAAAGCCCATACTGAATACAATATAACTTTAAATAAAGACGGGATCTGACCCTGCACTTGCATAACTCACCTAATTTACCTTATCCTTCCTATTGCATTTAAAAATCCTGCTTTCCTATATAGGATAAAACCATTGTTACAGATAAAAGAATTATTTTACACTCTACGCTCCTTTTTAATAGCATCCTCTTCTTGTTTTATATCTTCTGTATATGTTTTCCTTGTATTCATCACATATTGTTTCTCTTGAGTTCCAGAGCCATTTTGGTCTCTGCCTGTCAGTTTTCGTGTTTCCTCAGTGTCCGGTGGTCAGTGGCTGTCCTGAGTACTGAGTGATGCACTAAAATGCTGACCAAAAGCTTCAAATGGGCTCTTTGGTTGGGATGTTTCTTTGGGGGGCTTTCCGACGATCCACTTGTCCGGGTCTTTTCTTCTGGGCTGGTCAGTTTCCAAGGACAGGAGTCTTTCTAGTGCCCGCGAGAGAGGTACAAGTCTGCCCGCCTGTATGCTATGAGTCAGAGTGGGGCGGGGGGACAGCATGCAGCACCCCTCTGTCCAGTACAGTGCTCTAGCTCTCAATTGAGCCCAGTGTCCCCCAGTCCTGAGTTTCCCTGCTTTCTCCCTTTTACACTGACCTTCTGGGTGCTTCTGGGGAGAAGAGGGGGCAGCTGCCTGGCTGCATGCAGAGGGAATTCAGAATTCTAACTGCTTTTTGAAGATTTCAGTGAGTTCTCTTTTAAGTTCCATAGGCAGCCCCACATTCAGAGCCAGCTGTCACCTCTAGTTCCTGAGACTTTCTGAGCTGTGCGCAAAGGATTAGTCTGTGTATGCCAAGAGTTCATACCACAATTACTAGAAACGAGTTAGGAGTGGGTACATATCTGCTTTTCATCAAGGCCAGCATTTGCACTCTTCCCTAGCACACCAAAAGAGAGGAGGCTCTCTCTACATTTGCGTCACATTGCATCTGTTCCACAAACTCTTGCTATCACAGATGACTTCTTTTTTTGCACATCAGCAAAGAACAATGAGGGGTAAAATTCAGTTTTTCCGTCAACAACATAAACTTATTCAAATTCCAATCTAGATCGTTTTTATGCTGTTTTAGATATGTTAGCTATTTAGATATTGGGTTTAGCAAACATTGATTTATTTTACAGATGTCTGTGATAATGATATTCACATTTCTGGTGGCATGGTCCCCTTATTCAGTCGTGTGCTTATGGGCTTCTTTTGGTGACCCAAAGAGGATCCCTCCCTCAATGGCCATCATTGCTCCACTGTTTGCAAAATCTTCTACATTCTACAATCCCTGTATTTATGTGGTTGCCAATAAAAAGTAAGTAATGTCTAAAATGCTTCTGAACAAAATAATGGGTACAGAAAAAAGTGTTTAAAAAACCACAGATAATGTTCTAAGACTTCTGGGGAGATAAATGACAGAAACTCACTTTAGCTCGTAAGTTATTTGACTCATGCAACCGGAGAACCTTACATGCCTAGAGCTCTAGTTCTGTGACAGGCTCTTCCCACATGGGTGGCAAGATGATCTCAGGCAACCCCGAACCCAAGTCCTACCAGCTCAGCGGCCCTGAATTCAAGTTTCATCTCAGATGACTCTGGCAGAGAAGCTGCTGGAAGGTTTTTGGGAGGCTCAGCTTAGTTCTTTTGGTTATCCCACCCCAAAATATGTGGAACTGGTATTTCAAAGAAAAGAGTAATTCTATTACCAGATAATGGACAAGGCAAGGCAATGTTTGGCTCCCTAAGTGGGGAGCATAGTTGTGTATTTACCAGAAAGAAGACACGCTGTTCAAATGCAAGAGAAAAATCCCAGGCTTCAGGCAGGATAGTCACTTAGGACGATGGAGAAAGAAACCCACCCCTTTTGTTAGGACCCTTGGTAAGGATTTCTTTTCTGCCTCCCCAGTGAAGCTCGGATTCTTTCATTTTCTTTTGATTTGGAAAGATGGCATAAACCAATCTGCTGAGCTTAAATCTTAGTACAGGTCAAGTAATTTGATCCTGGAATGTCAATGCTGCTTCTATTAAGCTTATGCAAGTATGCACATATTTGGGAAAGCAGCTTTAGTTATAGCCATGTGAAGAAATACAAAAACTTTTAAGGCCAAACAGATCACAGAAGAAGAGTAAAAAATACATTTTAAATTCAGAGTCTGCTGATAGCTCTTTTGGAAAGATTAATCATTCTCAAGCTCCCCTTAATTTCAACTGGCCTTTGCTCAGAAGAACAGATGCATGAAACACGTATCCCTTGTTCAAATAAATAAATAAATGATTGCAGCCAACATCAGAAGTGTCATTTAAACACATAATTATTGATTTTTATTAAATGTCTCCAATGTTTATAATTAATGACACAAAATTGGTCCTCAGCTGTACCACATACTTTTCTTCATTATAAAGGTTCTCAACAGGAGAGAAAGTTGTAGGCAAAAACTAATCTGGAAATGTCAACTGGCAGTAGTGGCCTCTTAGCCACATGTGAAAATGTTTTAAAATTCCGAGTCATTATAGGATAGTGCCAGATTTTCCCTTCTTGTTGTAGGTTTCGGAGGGCGATCTTTGCCATGTTCAAATGTCAAACCCATCAAGCTGTGACAACTTTGGATATGCCTGTGACAACTTTTTTGCCAATGGATGTACCTCAAAACCCATTGACTTCTAGAAGAATCTGAAAAAAGAGGAAAACACAAGTTATCAAAACATTTTATTTACTTTTTGCAATGTTTTAATTTTATTTAAAATATGAGTACCTTTAGAGCAAATGCAGACATAGATTATTATCCTAATAGACTGAATCCCTCAAGTGTAGTTTATAGGTCTTCTGTTTGTGCATTGGCTACCGTAGGGAATGCTTCTTTATTTCCTTATATGTAAACTTACTGTTCATCTCCTTTGATGAATCCAGACGCATGAGATGAAGGTCTCTTCTCTTTCTCTCTGTCATGGCATGCATTTCACTGTATTGATGACCTGGCATCTTGCCTGAGCAGGACATAACTATAATAATGATATAGTTAACACTCTTTAATAAATAACTACTGAAGTGAGTTGTTGGATGCTCCTAGCTAGGGACTTTGTCTAGTTTGTTTTTGGAGAATGGCAATATGTGGTAATATTGGTAACTCTACTCTAAATCAATTTTATATCATGTGCTTCTATTCTTAAAGCTAAATTTTGTAAAACTGATTGTTATGCATATTGGTAAAAAACAAATGCACAAAATAAAATTTATAATATTATAATGTCAATAGTCTGCAGTTGTTTTCTAGTATCTGCTAAGAATTGGATTATTTTTAACATTAAGTGTAGCTTCAAAGTGTAGTAACAATTACATCCATAGGAAAAGAATTTAACAGGCATTTCCTTGCAAATCTAGATATGGGCAACTATTGAAATTTTCTTGACATGTGTTTGATTTTCATTTTCCCTAGAATGTGTTACTTTGCAGAAACCATATTCAAAGGCTAGGAAGATTGATCCCCTGCAAGATACACTTGAAGGTTAAGTAACTACAGATCTCAGCTAATCCTGAGTAATCTGCGCTTACTAAATGGCTGTTTGCATTCCAGGCACACTAGTTTCTAAATGCTTAGGATTTGTTTTTACCTTTTGCTCAAATAACCTCTAAAAGGAGCCATGCGTCTCTTAGCATGTCTGGGCATGGTGCTTAGCTTTTTGGAAGAAGTGAGCTGTTCGTGTCCTTCACAGTGCACCTGCAGCTATCACAGCAGCTCCGATGGCGTCGGATCAAGGTATGCTCCTCTCCTTGCTACTAAGTGCTCTAATGATTCTGAGAAAAAGGACTCCGCCAGCAGCTTTATTTTGAAAGCAAACTGTCAATCAGAAATCAGAGAAGAGAAGGTTTAATTGACATAAAATTTAACTTAATTATATTAATACTGGGTGTCAGCTCCATTGTTTTCATCTTGGGCAGTGCAGCTCTTAAAAGCCCCTCAAATCATTTGACACTCTCAAACACATGTATTCACAAAATGTTCCTTTCAGGAGGTCAAGGTGAAATGTGTGTGTCCAGCTCAGCCTGATTATAGAAAGCAGGGCTGATCAGCAGGAGCTAGACATGCCCAGATCCTTTGCTTCCTGGGTTTTCCATTTCATTTGAGGCTTATTCATGGCAACTGGATGGACTTCAGAAAGTAGGAAGGAAGATCACAAGAGTGAAATTACAGATGTTCATAATTAGAATTTTTCTTAAGATACTGGAATTTACAAACAAAAGAGGTTTGAGAGATATGGATCAGCAGACACTATAGGCCCTCACAGAGGTTATCCAACCTCTTGGCTGCTTTAACATCCACCTGTGAAATGAGAATAATTGCATATGTATACATGAGTCCTTCAATATAGAAATTACATGCAAAGCAGAACTCTTGTTAGCTAAACATGATAGATCATGATATTTTGGAGAGAATATTTAATGACAAAATCAGATTTTTTTATGACTCAGTTGTTGGTTTTGTGACTTTAGAGGTTATTTGAACATTGAGCTTCTTAAAAAATAATTTATTGAAAAGAGTCACTCAATTTATGTTCTATAACTTTAAACAAATTAATGAAAATTAAAACATGTTATTGAGTAGTTTGTCTTGCTATTCTATAAACTTTACTTAACCAACTCTTGGTATCTTTTTGAGAGATTCACTAGGTGGTTTAGGACAATGAGAAAAATTAAAAAACTTAAATACCTATTTGGCAAAAGACATGTAGCAGTTAATGAGTCTGGCCAGGGTACTTTTGAGAAACAATCATAGAGATGTTTCTTTCTCCTTTATGGCAGCACTATTCATGAATTTTATGAAAATCACAGTATATTACTCTTGGCAAGAGCTCTAGAAATAATCTAGTTCTACTGCTGTTGTTTTACAAATGAAGAAATGAAACCATGCAGAGGCTAAATGGCTTGTCCAAGGTCATAGCATGAGTTGATACAGTGACTGGCTGATAAAGACACTGGGTCTTTCAGCTTCCAATCCAAACTTTTTTCCATTACCCTGGAATGCTAACTTAAGGCACAGAAACTGGATCATTCTGGTCTAAAGAAGCACTGAAATTTGTGATAGGGAATAGAGATGAAAAGCAGGAGGTGTCCTGAGAAATGTGGTGCTTCTGTACCGTCTGTCCCTAAAGTTACAGACAGGAGATGCTAGCAATACATCTGCTTCACGCTGTTTTATCTCTCTTTATGGTGCAGGCTGGCTTTCAAAGTTTACTGATTTAATGTGATGTGTTTCACCAAATGGCTGTTGTTGTTACTGTTCACTGCATGTGTAAATGTATTGTCATTTGGATCATGCTTTGTGAACGTTTCGTTGTTCATTTTCAGCAATCCAGTGGGAATGAGCACGCAACGTGAGATAAACTGATCTTTCCCCAAGTTATAAGGCATCTAAATTCTCTGATTCTTCATACTTCACCATTACATATTGGACAGGCTTGTTTTCCAATGCATGATTTGCATGTGCCACTAAGCAAGATCACAATGTGACTTGCTCAAGGTCACTTAAGTTAGTGAGTAGTAAAAGGAATAAACTTGCTGTTACTGGTTTATTCCTTGGCTAGAAGTCACATTGTTAAAATAGAGCTCACCTTTGAACATCTAGTAAGAACACTTGCTCCTTCCTTCCTTAAAAAGTATCTATAACTTCAACAGGGGATTCTTTTAAAATGGACCATTTTGCAAAGAGGTTAAGTGTGCCCTTTGGAGTTGGACAGATGTGGGTTTGGAGGGTGGCTGTGTAACCCACTAGCTATGTGACCTTGGGAAAGTTATCTAATGTTGGCAGGCCTCAGTTATTTTAGTGTAAAAATAAGATTGATGACAAAATTAGCGTGAACCCATTGAGTGTCCATTACGTGTCAGGAAGATGTAAAACTTTGCATCTGTTTCAATGAACCATCCTGCCAGCGCTGTGGGGGAAGATGAACTCGAGCAATTGGTGAGGGTTGGCTGTGCCACAAAGGAGGTGGCAGAGATTAAATCTGAGCTGACATCAGCCTGACTCCAGAGCTGGTGGCTTTACCTGTTTACCCAATATCAGCTTCCTACGGCTGCTGTGACAGTTGAATAAGGTAATGGATGTGAGGTGTATTGCTCAGGCCTGACACGTGAAGAACCCATCACATGAAACTGCTTATATTTGATCATTTTTAACCTGCAAAAATGGCCATTTCATATGGCCAACCTAGAAGATGATGATGACAGATTATTGATGAATAGGTCAGCCAGGCTGAGTTGATACTTTGTGAAAACCAGTAAGGAATGTTTCTATGAGTACTGTTTTTTGCAGATTCATCTCACAAAGATTTCCTTTCACTGTTCTTGTTGTAACACTAGGTCAGTGCTATGTAATGACCTGGATATGACCGAGGTCCCTACAAATGTCCCCGTGGACACTGTGAAGCTTCGCATAGAGAAGACCGTCGTCCGCGGCATCCCCGCTGAGGCCTTCTACTACCTGGTGGAGCTCCAGTACCTCTGGGTGACCTACAATTCCATTGCCAGCCTTGAGGCCAGCAGCTTTTACAACCTCAGGCATCTGCATGAGCTACGCCTGGATGGGAATGCTCTGGATGTCTTCCCTTGGGCGTCTCTGCTGGACATGCCCCGTCTAAGGACCCTGGATTTGCACAACAACAGAATAACCAGTGTGCCAAATGAGGCAGTGAGGTACCTGAAGAACCTCGCCTACTTGGATTTATCAAGCAATGGACTAACCACACTGCCACCAGAATTCCTGGAGAGCTGGCCCCACGTGCTTACAACATCACCCAGAAGCCTGGACCTTTCCAGACCAAGAAGAATTATTCTAGGTGAGCTCGCAAGCCTCTGTGCTTCTCAGGTCCAGATAATTTGCTCAGCATACTTTCAGTCTTTTCATATTCATTGAATTTGGTTTCTTACCCTATACTTGCACTTTTGATGGAATAGCACATCATCAGTTGACTTAGGTCAATCTACCCATCTACCTGGTATAAGATATAATGGTTCTGGGTGTGTGTGTGTGTGTGTGTGTGTGTGTTGTGAGGGGGGAGGGGAGTTTGCCTCCAAAACTGAGAGACTAGTGCTGCCATTAGAGAGCCTGAAGATGAGTGACAAAACCACCAACCTACCCTGGTTCCTCTGAGCATGCTAAATATGCTCCATACTCTGCTGCACTCAATCTGCTGTTCGGGTCCCTTTTCAGCCCTTCATCGGGCTCTTCAGGAGCGGGAGAGGGGCACTGACATTTTTATGAGGTTGCAGTGGTTTAATTAGTTAGGGATGATACCTGCCAACTTTTCTTAATCAAATCAGAAATGATAAAGACACCAGTTATTTTATGGGCCCCAAATAGGTCTCCTAATGGATTTGGTCTCAGTTTAGCTGTGATTAGTTTTGGATATTTCAATTTTGACTCTGTTTACATTCTATATATATTTGTCTTGTGTTCTTAAAATGTAAACTCCCTCCAGTAAAGTCTCTCTCTTCTTGTTTTGTGTCTTCTCACAGTGCTTTGCATGGTGCTTTGCATATGGTGAATGCCCAGGAAATGTGGTTGCCTGATTGAAATCAGTGAACTAGGCCCTTTTCGGGGGTATCCGTGGGCAGGGAGGCCTTTCATATTTATGTATGAGACAGAAGCCTGAGGCTTTGATCAATGAGATTGAGTTCCTAAAATGTTGCTTGCCCATTAAAGCTGTGCTGTCAGCTCATAAGTGCATCCATCAGGGCTGTAGAAGGGGTTCTACTTGTCAGAAGGGTGAAAGAACTAATGAGTGTCTGGCCAGTGAAATGAATTATAAGCCTTTTGGAGTGAGAAGCAAGTAGATGCTACCTACAGCGGCTGTGACAGAGGTGGCAATGTCTTATAAAGAAAGACTTTTCTACTTTGGCTTTTTTGTTATTACATTTAAGTCTTTAAAGTTCACCACCAAAATACACTGATGAGAACCAGTTCTAGATTTTCTAGAGCTCAGTGTTTAACTGTAGCAATTAATCTTCCCAGGTGGCCTGGAGAATTTACTCATGTACTGTTATACTGGGACGCCTTCTGCTTTTATTTAATTTTTATTGCCCTGTGTTTAGTATTGTTGGCAGATAGAGCTTCTATTTATAATAATAATTATAACGGCTAGTATTGATGGAGTGCTTACTCAAGGCCAAGCCCAGCTCTTAGACTTTACGGGTGTATCTTCTTCCAGTGTCATACTAACACTGTGGTAAGGACCATTTCATCCCCGTTTTGTAGACGAGGAAATGAGGCATGAGGTCGGCCGCGCGGGCCCAGCCATGGTGGTGCTGGGATGAGCACGGGCTGTGTGGCAGTAGAACCCGTGCCCTCCTTCACTGCTCTGTGGTTCGAGGTTGGTCTGTAATAATACCAGGCTTACTTTCCCCCCACATGCGTTTCTTTACTGAGTTCCTTATATCATTATTTATTTAAAAGAAATTTAGGGAGGAGCTTTTCCATTACTCCTTCTCTCTTCTACATGAATAAAAATACCAACTTAATGAAATTGTACTTTAATGTACCCATAAAACATAAAGCATTGTCCAGCAAGTAAACATTTAAATTAACTATGAAACTACATTAGATTTTTGACGTTCAATACAGGTGTTTCCATGTCCTCTTTCTCAAGAACAAGCAAATATTTACACAGGCAGACTCCGTAAAGCCTAACACTGTTTATATTGGAGAAAAAAGACTGCAGTACAGGAGGTCATAAAATATCTTTCGGGTGCTTTTTCCTGGTACCCAAATTGTTCAATTGTAAACACGCATTCTTCTATTCAGAATGGAGTTCGCCTGAGGGGCTGCAGTGGCCCCGAGTACTTCCAAAGAATTTCCAAAAATACCATTAATTTAATTCGACAAACACTACTCAGGCCCTGTGGGTATGCCTGTCCTTTGCTAGGCATGGAGGAGACGAGTTCCACAGAGTTTAGGCTCACTCGAGCCAGGTGTCCTTCTGGGGCTGCTGGTGGCATCTCAGCCTTCTGGGGACCCCACGAGCTGTGTCCGTAATCCTCACCTCCCTCTCTCACAGCCGAGACAGGCAGAGTCAAGCTTCCGATTTACAGCCCATCTTCAGAGATATCACTGTTTTATTCTTTTTTAAAAAAAAATTATTGATTTGAGAAAGAAAGAGAGAAAGATCTATTTGTTATTCCACTTATTTATTCATTCACTTGTTGTTTCTTTTATGTGCCCTGACCAGGGCTCATTGAGATGACACTCGAACCAAGAGCCTCAGCCAGGGCCTCATTTTTTTATTCTTTAAACCTTTATTTATTTAACTTTGTATTGAATTTATTGGGGTGACATTGGCTAATAAAATTATATAGGTTTCAGATGCAAATTCTATAATACATCATCTATATGAGGTCTGTCCAAAAAGTATCCATCCAAGTCATATGAAAAATGGGGACGTTTATTGAAGAAGATTCAAGATACAAGAAACACTGTACACAGGACAATGACGCCTCAGTCCTCTGCCATGTAGGCACCTTGGGACCTCACACAGTTCTCCCAATCACCATCAGCTGCCCCATTATATTCTCCTGAATCTCATTGATGGTCTGAAATCTTTTCCCTTTCAAAGGTGATTTTAGTTTTGGGAAAAGCCAAAAGTCACAGAGCACCAAATCTGGCCTGAAGCGGGACTGAGTCACCTGAGTGACTTGATGTTTCACAAAAAAAAACTCTGCATGAGACGTGATGCAGGGAGTAGGCACGTTGTCATAGTGAAGCTGCCCTTCACCAGTTGCCCATAGCTGCAGCCTTCTGAATCATCCAAATAGTTTCTGTGGAGGAATGTTCAAGCTTAACACAAAATTTGATGCAGATTTGCTGTTCTACTTTCTCATTTTGAATGTGATGGCCACACAGTACACATGCTCACTCAGTACACATGGCGTCTACCGCCCCCACTGACTAGTACAGTGAAGTTGTCATTGTTCACGCATGAGTATTCCAATCCAATCTCCTTGGCTGCCAGGTTACATCCGTGCTGTGCAAACTGTTCTCGTTATATTAACAATGGCTGGGCTTTTTCACCACCCCAAGTCAAGTCTCTTTCCATCACCATCTATCCCCTGTAGCCTCTTCTACCTCCCCCATTGCTCTTTTCCTCTGATACTCATCATACTCTTGCCTGTGTCAATGAATTTTTTGGCTTTTTTGCTTAATTTCTCCACCTTTTTCACCAAGCCCTCCAAACCTCCTCCCCACTGTCAGCTGTCAGTCTGTTCCCTGTATCTATGAGTCTGTTTCTATTTTGTTAGTTTATTTTATTCATTAGATTTCACATATAATTGTGAAATTATATGTGAATAAATTCACATGGCAATTGTCTTTCTCTGACTGACTTACTTCACTTAGCAAAATTATTTCCAGGTCCATCATGCAGTTGTAAAGGGTAAGACTTCCTCCTTTTTTACAGTCAAGTAGTAAATTTTTCTTTTTTAATTTTGAGGAATTGAGGTATAATTTGCATACAGTGAATCTTAAGTGTATAATTTGGTAAATGATGGTAAATGTATACTCCTCCCGCACCAAGATGCACAATAACCCAGCACCCAGGAAGTTCCCCCACGCCCCTTCACAGTAAATCTCCCACCCAGGCAACACTGTTTTTGTTTTGATCCCCCCAGCTTACTTTGTCTGCCCTAGAATTTCATATAAATGGAATCATATAAGAGGCACTCTTGTGCCTGGCTTCTTTCCCTCAGCTTTATATTTTTGAGACCCATCGGTGTATTGGGAGGTCCTCACTGCAGAGTCCCATTCTGTTTTATGAAGGTACCAATTGTTCATTCTTTCTCTTGTTGTGGGACACAGGGCTGTTTCTAGTTTTCAGCTCTTGTGAATTAAGCTGCTATTTACATTCTTGTGCAAAGCTTTTGTAGCATTTATTTTCATTTCTCGGACAAATTCTTAGGATTGAAATTCCAAGTCATAGAATAACTATATATAACTTTTAAAGAAATTGCTCATTAAAAAAAGAGAAACTGCTAGTTTTTAAAGAGGCTGCACTGTTTTACACTCTCGCCAGCACTGCAGAACAGTCTGCTTGCGCATATCCTCACCAGTACAAGCGTCTTTTCTCTTTCAGCCTTTTTGGGGTGGGGTGGGTGGGGGAGCAGCATCACACTGTGATGTAATTTGCATTGCTCTGATGACCACAGCCTGTGCCAGACTTAGGATGGTCTGATGTACAGTGATTCAGCTTATGGGTTTTCAACTTTGCTGTGGTGCAAAAGTGATATAAATTGAGTAGAAACTGTACTTCAAATTTTGAATTTCGATCATTTCCAAAGCTAGTGACATGTGTAATGATACTCCCTCGGGATGCCGTACAGTGACAGCAGCCTCAGCTCCCAGTCGGCCACGGATCACGAGGGTCGACAACTTTAGAGCAGGAGTCCCCAGCCTCTGGGTCCAGGACTGGTAGGGGTCCCGGGCCTGTTAGGCACTGGCTGCACAGCAGGAGGTGAGCTTGAATGTAATGTGCTTGAATCATCCTGAAACCATCTCCCCCACCCCAGGCCATGGAAAAACTGTCTTCCACGAAACCAGTCCTTGGTGCCAAAAAGGTGGGGAACTGCCATCTAGAGTGTACTGTGGTGCCAGTGTTTTTTGGATATTTTATTTTATGGTTTTGCATCCTATCATGTCTACAAAAAGCCCCTTTGTGTCTCCTGCTTCTGGTGATAAGCAGAGGAAGGCAACTACTTTTGGGGATGAAACAATATAATTAATTGCAGGCTAACGTAAGTGCTCTGAGCACATTTCAGGTGGGCTAGGTTTGGTTGTGATGTTTGGGAGGTT